ATGCTACTTGCCTTCAATATTTAAAATAATAACAGACAGTAGAAAAGAATTTCTCTGTACAGATACTTCTCCAAAAATTTAAGAAAGATTACCAAGATGTACTCTAATTAGAGGTTTTGATCAGGATGTGTTCAGGTAGCCTCAATCCTGTGGTCACATGTACAAAGTAAGAGACCCCCTAAAATAAGCTTATAAAGAAAGCCTTAAATTATAGGTAGGTACAAAGCACCCTAATCAAATGGGAGGAAAAGGCTAGAAAAGGAGCTCTACCTACCTTAAATAATTTCAAATCAAGGCCCCTACTGATGCTCAGAGAATGATGACCTCTCAGTAGTAATAACAGGTAGCAAAACAACTATATTTTCTGACAACTAAACTTGAGGAAATGTCTTAAATTAGTAACAAGAATTATCCTGGACATTATGGAAAAAATGCAAACTCCTACATCCAGCTATTTATATGTAATGCTTTACTTGTTATAAAACATCAAGAAGACATCAAATTCAATTAAAAAGCAACTTTTGAAGTTGGTATTAAATCTTTGGTGAACCAGTCGTTTAGCTTGAAAAAGGACAGCAAGAAGTAGAAGTAACTGCTCATCTGCAAAAACAGAGTTTTATTTTCTCTATTCCTATTAGAAGATGGCTATCTAGGAGCAAGAGGAAATTATATGGGTATATATTTGTCCTACCAGACATATCTATGTTATGTTTGTAAACAGAGCTAAGAGTACAAACAGGTTAATTTCTGCAAAGTACATTTGAATATTCTCTTTTTTTTTTTGTCTTTTTCCGTGTCCGGCAACGGATCGCAACCCTCAGTGTCGCCCCCGTACCAGACCGGGACCGGCAACGGGATCGCAACCCTCGGTGTTGCCCCCGCGCCTCGCTCAGCCAGTGAGCAGGAACCGGTCTGTATGTGGGATCCGAACCCTTGGCAGGAGCGCCTCCACGCTTCCCAAGCGGCGCACTAGCGCAGTGTGCCACCGGGCCGGCCCTGAATATTCTTAATTTTTAAAAGGTTTAACTAGAAGATCCTACAAAATGTTAAGCATTTTTGTCATGCTTATTAGCTGTCAGCCAAATGTGCCCCTCAACGACTGAAAACTAAAATACCATCCCAAGAATAAGTCAAATTACACCTATATTTCAAAACCAAAATGCAGAAAATTCCAAAAGTCAGTGAGCCTTCTGAGTTGAAATTGTATCCATAAAAGCATAGAAATGTTAGTATGTTAAGATGCCCAGCACTGGGGATAGGAATAATAATGAGACATCATATTTTTCACTTTAGGGTAGCATTAAACCAAAGTTATCTTCGGATAAGCCAAAAAGCCGACCCTTTAATCCCACTGAATTATACACATAAAAATGGTTAAAATGGCAAATTTTGTTATGTCTATTTTACCACAATTCTAAAAAACGAATAATATACTAAAAGTCACTGGACTGCATACTTTAAATGAATTAACTGCAATGATTTGTGAAGTATACCTCAATAAGGCTATTAAAAACAAAAGCAACAAAGCTGCCCCACATGCCAAGGCAATCCCAGCTGCTAGTGTTGCCATGGAGGTTTACATATCACACAGAGATTGACTGTCTAGTCTCGCTAGTAAAGATAACCAGGAAGATGTTTGACAGTCAATACCAGTAAGATTAATTACAGGCTCCTTAACTCTTCAACTTCTCTAAGTCAGATAAGACAAATTAATAAGAATACAAATAAAAAGTCACATACTTGTTTCCTTTAAGCTTATTTAATATTTGAACTCTTATTTTCTATTTTCCCAGACCCCAGAAAACAGAAAGTTTTTAGATGACCAATATTTTGTTCCAGAAACATACAGCCTTATCAGCTAATTCATAAAAGAGCTATTTTACAAAGGTACATTTGGATAATTAGAACAATACAGTCTTTTAGGTATTTCAAAATGTGATCAGTAAAAATACATGATTATTAATAAAGTTTTTTTAAAGATAGTTCCAGATTTTTTTTTAAAAGCAATTTCTGTTAAAGAATACATGATTGTATGGTGAACAAGGAAAATAAAATGTTCTAGTAGGAAGAAGTTTATTAAAAATAACCAACAGTGTGCATATTACAGTTACCATTTTTGCAGTACATCTGCTTAGCAGTTGGCACCTGGAAATGGTGGGGAGGGCTTCCTTCTAGGGGGTACATTTTTTCCCCTTACCAATTCATTATCAAAACCCTCAGTACCAGTGGGGAAGGCATAAGGAATTAGGCAAAAGGAACTCTTTTCTTGAAGAAAAAACAATCTTGCAGATCACTCTGAAAAGGGGTGGAAACATCAGAAAAAAACATGATTTACAAAACAAAACTTTTAATACCAACAGGGGAAAAAAACTAGCCAGCACGGAGTTGATTGTAAGGTCCTGCTAATTTCATATTTTGAAATCCTATGCACACAGTTCTCAATGGTGCCCTCTGTGACATATACAGAAGGAAATACTGACCAAAGCTCTAGTAACTCAAAATAACGTGAAATACCAACTTCAGAGAAGAAAGTTTCCTATTTGAAATATGGAAACCCCATGTAATACACCAAATTTACTAATCAAAGGGGGGGGGGGCGATGCAAGTAAAATTCACAGGAAGCCTAAGTATTTTCTTTAGCTTCTAAAAAGAAGAAAAAATAAAACTTTTCTCCGCTGCTATCATCTCAGTAGCTTCTCTCTCTCCTCCCTCAAAAATAAATAAGCAAAAAGCTTTTTAAAAGGGGATTCATCCTTTCTAACAGTCATTAGAAGTTGTTTCAGGATGGAAAAGACAAAAGTTTATACCTCCCAAGCAATATAATAAATAGTTACAATTTAGGTTCTAAAAGGCAACATAACGCAAAGCAGTCCAAGTTACCTGATTTTAAAACATATGGCTTTTAGGTCAGTAATCATAATTTTAAATTACAGCACTTTGGGGGCTTGCCGATTTGCCTTGGTTAACTCTATTCTCTGAAAAGGAAGGAGACACTCCAAATGTAATTTGCCACTTAGTAACAAAGGAGCCATTAAGCCCACAGGAGAGAACACAGTGTCATAACAGGTCACTTAAACAGCTAAACTGCAGCTTTCTCACTCTGGGAACGTTGCTTTGTCTACACCCTTGTACCTTCAGTATAGTAGTGGATTCCAACTTCTAGTCATGTAACTGAGAAAACTACTTTGATGGTACCATCTCACTCAAAGACAGGATGAAAATCTAATTCCATCATCCTGAAAAGGAGATATAATATGAAAGTACAATGGAAAGGGAGATATAATATGAAAGTACAATGGATATGACTATAATGGCCAAAATGAAATAGAAGGCCTAGGAGGCCAGGCTGGGAGGGAGAAGAGAAGTCATCAGGCTGGTAAGATAAAAACAGCACTCAAAATTTTGGGATCTTTTCAGAATTAGACTTTGCCTTGGGGCTTCATTTGACAATCTAGATATGAATTTATTTGGAAGTACTAGAGCTATGTATGGTCCTAGTATTTTTCCAGTTAGTCCTGTTATAACTCCAAGAAGAGGTTAAACTGCAGGAAAACAAAAGCAAGAAATTACTAGACAAGATATTGGCTGAGAGAACCCAAAACTTTGCTAACCTACAAGCTTCTTAATTGACTTAATTATGTGATGACCCTGAAGTGTCAGAAGTTAAGATGAAAGTTCTACTCATATTATATTTACCATTCTCCTGATTACCTGCCCCCTGATGGTGTTAGTGTCAAGTGGCTACAGGTGTAACTCTTTTAGTTGGGAGTGACTACATTATTTCCAGCAGCACAATATATAACCATTTGGTTTCTACTTGTGTCTCCTAAGAGATACAGAAAGTTTCAAGTTCTAAACTTCACATATATTAACTTCTGCTTCTACAATTTTCAATCCCATTCTGAGTTAAATTATACTTGGCCTAATACTCAAAATATAATTCTAATTTATAGATGAGATCCAAAGAACCTCATCTACAGAAAAAACATAGATCAGTTCTGAAAGGACAGAAACAGGGATCCGGACATAGATAGATGAGCTTGTTAAACTGTCGTGGTGCTCATAAAAGCAGTTGGATATCCTTACCATTTGTGCTGAGAATTCTTTCTTTTTTTTTTTGGTGGACTGCAGGGAAGAATAAAATTACATCCTGACTACCCACAGAGTTCAGAGGGCACTACTAAAAGATGTGAGCAATGGATGAACTCCTTGTTTATTAACAGAATTTACAGATTTGATAAATGATTTCATTTTAGTTGGCAAAAATACTCCAAAACATATATATCTAATGCACAAAGAAAACCACAGAAAGCCAATATAACTGAAGGAGTTCTCAAGTTACAATTCTCAAACATTTATCCTCTTCAGGGTGCTGCCAGTACTACTACTATTCACTCTAGAGCAGGCAGTTACCAACACCTTGCCCGCAGCATCCAGTGTATGTTCTGGCTGCAGTTTTTAAGGTCAGCGATGGCCCAGTGTGGAAGAGCTGCAGCAGTGAAGTCAGAGGAAGTGCTTCTGGAGTTGGTGTGAACAGTTCTGTCTCCTTCCCACATCTTTCTCCACTCCACCACTGGCTCTATTTTTGACTCAAAGAGCCCTTTGGCACCAGCAGTGCAAAAATTAGAGTCAAACCTCCAGGTACTAAAATTTTACTGGCCTTATAATCAGCAGTACCCGTGGCTGACAAAAGCCATGGTTCAACTCAGTAGTGATTCAGTTAGATCACCTTTCCAAACTCTTTACCCACTCCCATCCCACCCTTCCTTAGCAACCCCCACCCCTGCCACCACCTGAAGCATTTCCATTTGTTTGTTTTTACTTCCTGCTTAACCTGCAGGGATAATTTTACACAAGTGCCAAAGTCTAATGTATAATTATAAAAATGAAATGATACCAAGAATAACAAATTTATAGTCAAGAAAATAAAATTTGCTTTCTTCTCCCTCCCAAATCCCAACCCTCAATAAAAGAGACGACAATAAAAGAAAACACACCCATTTTCAAGTGCCTGATATTTAGTACATTGAGGATTCCTGTTAATTGGGGTTGATCCCAGCTACAGAGAAGAGGTGCTTGCCTCAGGGTGGGACAAAGCCCACCTACTCTCTGACCACCTGGGCAGCACATAGCTCAAGTCCTCTGCCCAGAAGAGCCACAGGGATACTATGCGTTTGAGGTGACCCTCAGTAAAGCAGCCTACAGCAGAGGGCATGGAATACAGCTGAGTGAAGGAAAGATGCTCTCCCTTCCCCTTCACACTTCCTCCTCCTCTTCACCTCTCTACCCAACCTCCTAATACCCATCCTGACCTCTTAGCTTCAGGAGCGATTGATCCTTGGTTGCACTAAATACAGAAAGCTAAAACTCCCACTACTCAATTAAAACAAAACAAGGCAAAATAAAAATTAAAATGTGCTTTCAAATACGGAATGAAGTCAAATAAATACATCTGATTTTTCTCTTTTTCTTAAGTCTAAGTACAATTTCATATCCTACACCCAAAGCTCTATACATTTGGTTTTTGTTCTGAATCAAAATGAATTTCCAATAGTGAGAAGAGGAGAGTGAGAGAATGGATATTCCCTCACTGACAGACTAGTGCAGCTGCCACACTGTGAAGAACTAGTCCCGCTCTGGGCACCTTGGGACATGGTTAACCCCAGGTGGTTCACAGGCAGGTCCTCTGTAAAACACTCTGTGTGTCCACACTGGAGCCAGGATATGGTGAGATAATGCCGATGCTCAAAGTCCAACAATCTGCAGTCACCTCCAGGACACGCACCTCTAACTTTTATCTGAGAAGAATAAAGAATTGTGGAAACCAAATTAAGAAGAACAAACGAACACCGCAAAGAACACGCATGAAATCAGTGGTCATGGTTATATCTTTGTTTCTGAATCAGAACAGCCCCATCCCAAAGTATGTGAGCAGATGAGTACAAATTGCTGCAATGAATATAGATTCATCTGCAGTCAAGGGGCAACACTGGTCTCATTGTCAAGAGAAGCACAAAAGCACAGCACGACCTGAAGAGGACCAGTCCTCCATACTAGGGAGTTATCACAGCACCAGCAAATCTCATACTGAATCCATGACTGACCAGGCTTCCCACCACTCTGCGTGCATTCTGCTTTTGAAAAGGTGAGGAAAGAGAGAGAAGAACTGACAACTGCCATTCCTCTCAGAGAAGGAAGAGCAGAGTCAGCAGGTGAAAGCTTCTGCTTGATATATGAGGTTTAGAAACAAGCAGCTTTTTTAAGACAGAAAAGAAATGGAATCTCAGAAGGTTTTCACTTTAAAGAATAATAAATCATTTCATTCAGTGCACTGTTCAGGCAGGATGATTCTAGAGTCTGGAACCCATAATTTTCACATACCTGAGAGCTTGTCTGTGAGGGCTGATCCAGCCAGCCTTTGGCAAAGAATGGTGTAACTTTCCTCCACCTTCTGTAAAACAAAACCCATAGGTTTTTCATTCAAACATCATGAAAAAACCAAAACAAAAAGTTTTGAAAATAGAGAAGAAGGCTTTTATATTACAGTTTTATATATTGCTCCCAAATTTTGACATTAACATCATTAAAAATTTTGTTAGTGGGGAGAAAACAGTAAATTTCATTCCTTTTGCCTATTTCTCCTTTGAATGAATAACTTAAAATTTTCCCACCCAAAAACAAAGTACAGGGAGTAACTGGTAAATGTGATTATCCCACTCCGGGAGTCACCCTGAAAATGTTCCCACATCATGTGGCATGAATTTTATGAGAGCTGACCTGCCCACAATGGCCTTTTAGATACCTCATCAGACATAGAATAACACTATATATAATCATACGAAGAGAGGAAAATCGTATCATATGAAGTTAAAAGAAAAATAAAGGGAGACCAGTTTTTAGCTAAAAGGCTAGGAAGACCTTTAAATCTGTCTCTAAACACCTGCCAACTAAATGAAAAAAACTGGGGGGTTCTAGCAGCTGTGTCTACTGATGGCAACCTTTAAGATAGTGTCCTTTTCTCAAAAATTGCCACAGAAGTCAGTTCTGAAATAGTGACATCTTCAATTACCAATTTATAAAAATCCCATTCATGCCCAGGTTTTTAGATTACATGATCCTCGGAAGCCAATTTCTATCTGTCATAGCATCTGGGAAACTACCAACATCACCTAATGAGGAACAGATAATTAATAGGTTATAACGAGTTACAGTATTTCCCAGCCTAGATCCATAACTATACAAACACTATCCATTCTAGCTTATTCATATCATCTGATGGAGGCCAGCAAACTACTCCAAGCATTTTTTTGATTCTGAAACTTAAAAACCCATAGAAACACATAGTTTACAGAGCTATAACTTTTTCTGTTCTTAATATATCACAAGATAAACAATGCCAATTCTCAGCATTTTATCCAGGCCTATTCATGGATAATGGTCAATGGAAACATACAAATCTAGAACCTGAATAAGCTTACTGACATCAGCATTTTAATAATTCCATACTTCCCCTCTGCTAAATGTGTTTCTTATAATCAAGCCCTAAAGATAGTGAAACATGAGGTACCTTTAAGTGTTCAAGGTCAGCCTCTATCTTATGAATGTACTCCATGATCTGGCTTTGTGAATCTGCACAAAAGGAGGGACTCTGGATCTCAAAACGGGAATCCTCCATAGCTCCCCAGCGCTGCTGGACCAGGAATTCTGGGGTGAATGGTGAAACTGCCCCATCAGAATGAGCATTCTGGGGAGAATGTTGCTGCTGGTGGGCGGAGTCCATAGAGGGGATGCCTGTCATGGGTTGTGGGGTAAATGAGGAAGCAACCTCCTCATCTGTGGAGCTCTCCTGCACTGTTTCATAGCCATCAAGGATCAAATACTTTCCTATTGATAGAGACAGAACAGTTTGATGAGATTAGTACTGCCATCAGAAAATCAGAAAATAGAGATGGGTAGTACACTGATAACTTGAAAAGCTATAAGGAGGGGGGAAAGCCATTAATTTCCAAGTTTAGTTTTAAGTACATCAGACTTTCCTCACTTCGCATTAAAGCTAAACTGAGCAAATGCTCATGGTAACTTCTGAATAATTTCATACTAATTAGCATGTTAAAAGTTTAAAGCTGGAAACTACAAAGTCCACATATGATCTTGCCAGCACTTCTCCTGCTGAATACCTCCTCTTGCCTCATCTCCTACCATTTCCTCCCTCACCCCGCATTCCATAACTACAAAAGCTTGCTCTTGACGTGCAGCATTTGCCCATTCTGCTCTCTGGTGGAATACTCTGCTCCCAGGTATCCACATGGCTTTTCCCCTCACTGCACTCAGGTCTCTGCCCCAGTGCTACCTTATCAGAGGTCTTCCTCCCTGATCACTGTGTCTGCCCGTTACTCTCTCTCCTTTGTCTGACTTATTTTTCTTCCTAATATGTCACATTATCTGACATCTACTTGTTTGTTTACCTATTTACCTTTACTCTTTCCCCTACTAGTACTTAAGCTTCCTGACAATAGAGAATCTGTCTGCATTTTATTCATGGCTGTATCCCCTGGCACCCAACATGAGGTCTGGCATAGAGCAGATTCAGTAGTTATTTACTGAATGAAAGAATAAATAAATACTACACACACACACACACACACACACAAATGCTTAGATACCAAAACAACATCCATTTCAGCATACAGGACAGTAAACAATGACCAAAACCAAAGTTTACATATAAAAGAGACTTGCCTGAGATGTGTAAATTAACATCCTTCTCTTCCACTTTAACTGCTCCATCACCTTCTGATGGATTATCATCACTATGTGCTTCACGGGCATCAAAAAAGTGCTCTCCACTCTCCTCAAGACCCCCTTCTGGCTCTGTGGTAGGCATCTCTGGGGTCATAATCATGTGGTCCATTACCAAAATGTTACTTGCCTGGCTATCTTGGTATGCCAGTACCACTGAATCCCGTGGAGCAGAAGATTCAGTTGAAGTCCGTGGACTGTAACAAGTTGCAATGTCACCAGTTCCAGTTCTAAAGGGCATCTGTCCTTCAGCAGGATGGCAGGCCTTAATATTTTCAGAGTTCTGCATTCCACCATCTGCCTGTACCCCCTGAGAGGTTATCCTATATCTTGGAAAAGGTTGCCAGTCTTCCTGAGTGCTCTTCTCAGTCAAACCTAGCTGTTGTACCAGCAACTGCTTCAATAAGCCCACTAAAAAATTTAGGAAGGGGGCAAGGAAAATTTTTAAAAAGCACATTCACAAATATAACCTCAGACTGCCAGAGTTAAATCAGCTGGCTAAACTACCAATTATCTGTAAAAGTAAGCACCTTTTAATAATATATAGCCAGAATATTAATTTTACACAATCACTTTTTTGTTTTGATAAGTGAAATAAAGCACCATCTTCTAGAGAAGATTTAATATTAATCTAGATTTGAAAATATCTAAGCATCCTAAAATAGGAAGATACTCCTATCTAGAACATCTAAATAACCAATACCATGCTTCTACTTTTAATTCCATACAACTAGAATAATACCCCAAAGGTATTTAAGGGTGTTGAAAGGCTGTGTTAAACTAGACAAAAAACACTAATAGTTCTACTTTTTCTAGAAGCAGACACTATATGTATAGGCATATATGTTTTCTAATTTTATTAGACACATAGAACATTTATTTTATCATCTATAATAACCCAAAGAATCTCCCAAAATGGTAAGAAAGGAAATAAAACTGCCTTGTAATAAAATTTAATTCCAATGATTTGGTAGTATAATTTCAAATGATAAGGAAATATTTTTCAGTTTTTAAAAAATTACCTTACTAGTGGCACAGCTTTTTAGGTTGTTGAAAATAAGAACCAACTTAATTTTGAATAGGCAAAGTGTATGCTGTGAGATCACTCACACAATGATATAATTACAGGGACAATGTTAGTCAAACCATCAGAAATCATTCAGACTTAATTCAGGAGAACCTGGAATAAATTAGGTTTTAAATAACTTAACCAATTTCCTACTTTCATCACTGGCTTAATTTCTATCTTATTTAGGTAAAGAGTTTCTTTAGGTAAACAGTTTCCACATAGGTCTGAACCTTTGACCCTCTGTCTTTCTATTCTACATTCACTTCCTGAAAGATGCTATGCATTTTTACAGCTTTGACACTCAAATCTAGCTCTCTTCCTAACCTCTCTCCAAAGTTCCAGTCCTAAAACTCCACCTTCTTGCTAGTAACTTCCTCTTGAATGGCTTGCCATTCATTATTTTAATCTTGACATGTTTTAAAACTGAACCTATAATCTCTGCCAAATAAAAGAAGGAAAAAATAAAGTGCGGCAGTGGAAGGTTGGGAAGACCATGGTGGTCCTTTTTGACTCTTATTTCTGACAATACCAAAATTATCTCTAAATATTCCCCTTCATTGCACTCACATTCAAACAAGTCAATTGTTTTAAGTATCTGTTGTCTCCTCACTTTTACTACTTCTGACACCATCTAGTCCCAACCCTTTTAGTTTCAAGTCCAGACTACTATAATAGCTTATTTAGTAAGTGCGCCACTCCGAACTTCTTTCCATTCAAATCTTTCCTCAGCTCTCAGCCAGATTAATCTTTTTCATTAATCATATCACAGCATAAAAGCTTCAAATGCTTCTCTACAGCTAGAGCAATTGTTTTCAGCCTTTTTCCCAACTCAGTACACATAAGAGATGTGCTATCCTTCCATTTATAACAGTGATTCTCAGCTAGGCTTAGTGGGGGCTAGCTAAAAGAATGACCTGTATGTATGTACGTGTACGTGCGTGCACACACATGTGTGTAGTGTGGGCTGTGGTGAATACTACAACTGTTGCAAGAAAGGTAGTAGTATATGTGTAGTTTGCAAAAGACCACAAAATACTGTGATGTGCAATCCTCAGAGGGTGGAGAGGTCAAGGGTTTGGACCCCTATACCAGCCAGCCACCAAAAAAAAAAAAAAAAAGAACAGAAAAGAAAAAAGAAAACGGTGGAGAACCCAATCTGCTATTCAAAGTTTACAACAGCTAGGCTCAATAGCACATCTTCTACCTTTCCAACCTCATCTCCCACACTCCTTTAACTTATATGGTCTACCACAGGCCAACTGGTCTACTCACTGCTCTCTGAACACCCTCAGTTTTCTGCTTCTGTGCTTCTGGTACCACCATTATTCTTGTTTGAATCACTTCTATTCTTCCACATACCTATCTGAATCTTAACTATTCTTCGAGCAATAATTACATCTCTCTTGTTCTCTGATGCCTCCCTTCTCTAGTCATACCAACCCAGATCAATTCTGACATACCAGCACTGTCACTGTTCGAGTGTTTACTTAAAAAGGCGGGTGATCAGTTGGTTAGAGTGTGGTGATGACAACATCAACATCCAGCGTTCAATCCCTGTACCCTCCCAGCCAACAACAACAACAAAAAAAAGGTGAGGGTGAGGTAGGGTGGGATTTCTATCATCTTCCCAACCAGACTATAAATTTCTTGAAGGGAAAAGTCATAGCTTACACTTCTTTGGATTCTCCCTAAGTGGCTATTCAGTACATTATACAACTCTGGTATTTAATAAATGTCTGTAATAATTTATGAATAAAACTTACAATTCCTTAGTGCATCCAATGCCCACCGTTCTTCTGAGACAGGCAAATGTGGATCTGGGATTGACAACTGATAATTTACTCCAACTTCCTTTAGAGTTGCACCTGCATGCTGCTCCTTTGCAAACTGTCTCTCAGCCACAAAGAGATCATCTACCTCTGATTTCCCAGAGGTACTCAATGCATGAGACGGAGGTTTTGATGATATTAAGGAAGATTCTAATCCCAAATCTCTGTCTGTTCAATGGAACAGAAAAGATAAAGTATATCTTAACAAAACTTTTTACTTTTAACATGAACCATTCAGGAAAGACTTGAAAGAAAAAAAAATAACCACATAAGCTATGGAGATTACCTGTTAAATAAAATACGTAACACTTAGAGAACTGTTATACTGGAACACAGAAGGCTCATAAGTGGAGTTTATTAAACTGAATATCTGATACCAGAACTTGCATAAATCAAATAATAGGCTACATTTTTCCAGGTAGACCTAACAGATAAGTTTACCTGAATTCTGCAGACCAGGGACTGAAATATCATGATGCTCCACTTTTAATTTTGTAGGTTCCTCTTCATCATTGTCTCCTCTGCAGAAGAAAGAAAACAATCTTTCAGCTTCATGAGTTGCCTAAACATCATTGCAACAAAATGTAAGAATTGTCCATTTCTTTTCAAGAAGTCCTTCTTTTCAACAAGTCCTACCATGCAAAGAAATACTCACTCGCAAGGTGGTGACTCTGGTAATGGAATTGGCTTTGTAGATTGTTCCTTTACTGATGCAGCCATCCGACAGATAAGGTCCTGCCAGCTTCAGAAAGTTTGAAAGAAATCCAAAACATAAAAAGGAAAGAAAAAAATAAATACCTTTTAAGTACAGTCAGAAAGCAGGAATACAAAAAAAAAAGAAAAAGAAGACATAACAATCACAATAATTCCTTGAGCTTGTTAAGTGAACAGATATGATGCTGATGGGAGGGGGTGGAGGAGGAATTGGTAAAGGGACATGAAAATTAACTACACTGTATATTGATAAATTAAAAAAAGCCAAATCACCCAGGCTTCAGAATTCAGTGAAATTAAAAAAAAAAAAAAAGGAATACAAACAAAAATAACCCACTCTGCCAGAGAATATCTTATTTTGGCAACATACTATTAGATAGAGATTCCAAAACCATACCTTAAAGAAAAATCTAACATTATAAATACATTACCCATTAAAAAACTATACTTGACACTTTTGAGAATTTTTTCTTTAGAAAATATACTTTTAATAGAGTAGAATCAAAACAAAACACATCAAACTAAAAAGAAACAAGTTTGTAGAAGAACATCTCTAAAAGAATACAGAGAAAGTGCTTGCATATAGCTTTTGGTTTTCAGAATCCTAGTACAAAAACAAAGTTGAATTTGTGGAATATTATACCTGGGATAATAAAAAATATTAGAGTAAGATAGCTATATCTAATACGTACACAGTCTTTTCAGAAACTGTTTGTGCCACCAGTTCATAAATTTGGGCTCCATTGTCTGACATAGAGATAACGAACAAAGCTTTGTTATCTGGAAAAAAGAAGGCAAAAGTTATTCCACCACTATGATCTACAGAGGCCACTGAGGGAGGCTTCTGAGATCTTGGTAATACCCTGCATCTTAACCTAGATAATGTTTACATATTTTCACTTTGTAAAATTCATAAATATGTACCCTTAAAATTTGTGCAACTTACCGTATGTTATTCTGTATATATTACACCTCAATGAAACAAAGATTATAAAAATTAATACTGATTCCAAAGTAATTTAATAGAAGCAAAAAGATGTCAAAATTCTACATTACTTAATCGAATGCTTTTATTCTTTTGTATTTATTTTGAACTGCCCTTTTGCTAAGTTGTTAGTTAATAATATTCAGTGAGTGTTGAAAGATAAAAGTCACAAATTTATTTTGCCATCACAGAACTAACAAGTTTTAAAAGGGATCTCATTGCTAGTATAGTTAAAATATAACTTGCAAATTTAAACTGACTTTTAAGAACCCAAACTATACCCACCACCTCTTCAGTTTTCACATTCTTTTTTCACCAAATCAAAAAACATACCACCCCAAAGAAAGCTTTTTCATTGGGATTACCTCTCAATCTTCATTAGTATCCATCAATGATCTGAACATGGAATAAAGGCCAAAGTGATGGCATAAAAATTTTTAAATGCTCAAAATCACTCAGAGAATCTAGGCATCCTAAATAATTTGGGGGCATAAACTCTTAATTCACTTTCTAAGCAGTAAATAAATTTCATTTAATTTGCCTAAGAATATAAAAGTAACAAAACTCTATACTGGTTGTGCTATTTAAACAACATTAAAAATCTTATGCAACTTTACAACGAATCAGGAGGTTACCATCCTTCAGTGGACATACTTGCCTGTTGCCACTTGTCGAACCAACACTGTATTCAACTTAATGACAGGACTAAAAGTATGTTTGCTATCAGCTGTAGATGCCAGAATCTTACTATGACACCTTAATACCAGTCTATCATCCTGCTTTTGTAACAATACAAGAATGTCTTCCAGCAGCAATGTGTATAGATCTAGAAATAAAAATGCAGGAAAGGTGATGTGTTTAATAACCTTTTATAACAATTTGACAAATTTTATTTTTTAAATCTAGTACATTTTAAAAACTGACTTGTATATTGTCATAATTTTAATTTCACTTTTTAATAATTTATCCTCACTGTAATTCACCGAAGTGTCAGTCTGTGACTAGTAGGAAATAAAATGATAGTTTAAGAAATACTGATTAAAGGAAGTTTACAAAGACTCATAAGACTACAAGAATGATAGAAATTGGACTGAATCATGACAAAGTTTTCTGTTGCTTTCCTGAATGAATATTTAACATACATCAAATATAACAAAATAACACAAGCAGATCTATAAATGTGTAAATAACACACTGTAGCACTGCTAACTGCTATCACTGAAAATTGGGAATGGTTCTCTCTTCCTCCCTTTGGCACAAGGAAACTTTCCTATTCTTTTCCTTTCTCTACTCTCCCCCAAAGTTACAGACAACATCAGACCTACCAATAGTTTTATCTCTATTCACCTTCCAAACCAATGGCCCTTCGTGAATCATCTTCCTTTTTGTTAAATCCAAATTCTGCCAAAACAAAGAGAATTACAAATTATTTCCAAGTACTCAGTGAGAAGATATTCCATATAAATTAGTTTCCTTTCAAAAAATTCTGATAGAAAAATTATTGCTATCTGTCAGCTCTTGAAAATGGAGTAAAGACCATGTTAAAGTAATCTGCATAAGACTTTTTAAAAAGGAAAAGGTACCTTGCAGAAAAAACATACTATACTATCTTTCAATTATCACTCTAAATGAATGATAATTGCTTATGAAAATAAAGTTACAAACATTCAGCCACTAGATTCTTGACCCATCCCTTAATTTTTCTGTGAATAACTGTATGAGAATGATGCATATGCTTGTCTAAAAGAGGTCTCTGAGTTCTAAGGCTTTAATTCCAAAGAAAGTTCTAAGAAATAGCACTCATCAGGAAAAGCCCAGGTAATATTCAGGCTTGGACTAAATATTAATAACTTATAAAAAGAGAATTATCTTTTAGTATTAGTAGCTCTAGAAAAATCTCATTCTTTGGAAGTTAAAAGGATAAGAACATTAGCATGCTTAAAAAAAAAACTGTTACATATGACATAAAAGTCTATTTCAAACAGCTACCAAGTAAATGTGCCCAAAACAACCACCTAGCGAAATGGTACAAAAAAGACTTGAAATCCTAAAAAGTTAATTAATACAAAAGCCCAGGTACTAGAAGTAGCAATCAGTAAATATTTTACTATCATTTCTGTAATGGTTTCAACTTTTATGCTTTTGAAGAGCTTCATAGAAAAATAATTAAGTTATCTCGCCTTCCTCAATGATCTGGCACGTTCCCATAATAAACATTTCTACTCTTATTCAACTATAGAACATAATAAAAGTAAATTTAATAATAACCGGTATGCTTTAGTCTCCTGCCAATTCCTATCACATAAACTTACAGGTTCATACAAAATATTCCTCTAAAGAAAGACTAAAATAATCTTCACAGAGATTAGACATTTAAAAGGCAGAATAAAATTACAAATATAGATAATCTTTGATACAAGAACTCCTTCAGGTGACGTATATTCCCACTGCAACGTTAATTACCTGCCAGTTCCTTAGTAAATTTTATTTCATTTTTTAAATTATGATTAGATCGTCTCTCACCCTGAGCTCTTCAACATTGGGGTACTCTGACAACTTCAGATTGGAAGTATCAAGGCGACGCTGATAATCTTCTAAGCGCTGAAAATTAGACAGGATAGAGCCAAGGTTACTGCTTTGGTTACCAACAACCTTTCTGTTTCTAAATGGAATGGACATTTTTATTCTGCACTTTACTGAGCTCTTTGCAACACCAGTCATGATCCACAACTCACTCTTTTTTAAAACATCTCTTCGCTTGGCTTTCGTGATATTACACTCCTAGTTTTCCTCCTACCTCTTTGGCCATTCTTTCGCAATCTTCTTTTCAAACACATTGGCCTCAAACTAGTTTATATTTATTTTCTGAATACATAAATCACGCTCATAGCAGAAAATTCAGAAGGTAATATAAGGCACACGATAAAAAGTAAGTCTCCTTACAACCTTGTCTTCTTGTTCCCCATCCCCAATCTTCCCTAAAGAAGCAATCATTAATATTCATTTCTTTGGTAGCCTGTGAGAAAAATTCTATGCAAATAAAATATGTATGTATGTAAGTATGCTTGTGTCTGTGCCTGTTGTATGCATATATACATACGTTTTAAAAACAAGATATTATAGCATAATGTATTCATATACATATTCTTCTGTGCTGTATGTTTGAGAGACTTTTCAACATATCTTGGAGATCATTACGCATTAGTATATACACAGAGCTGCCGCAATGTTTTTAATGGCTACGCAGTATTCAACTCTGTGAATAAACTATAATTTATTTAACTATAACTTACTGATAGACATTTAGGTTACTTTCCATCTTCTATAACAAACAACATTGTAATAAAATGGCCTTAAACATATGCCTGTTTATACCTGGGTGTACATATGTCTGTAGAATAAATTCCTAGAATTGCTGAATGAAAGGGTATGTGCATTTTTCCCCAACATCACAAAAATTTCCAAATACACCGAAAAGTCTGAATGTACATAGTGAATACCCATTTAACTACCACCTACATTCCACAATTAACATTTGCTACACTGGGGAACTTGAGCAACACTGCTTTTGGTATCTGTGGGGGGTCCTGCAACAATCCCCTGCAGATATGGAGGGATGACTGTATTTGTTTTATTATATATCTATCCATCTAGTCATCCCTCTATCCATCAGTCCATCTTATTTTTTAGACACATTTAAAAATACTGTAAATTGCAGATGTAAATACATTTAACCCTAAACATTTTAGCATGCATATCATTAACAAGAATTCAGTATTTGTTTACAGTTCTTTTTTAAAAAGTAAAATTTTGGGGCTGGCTGGGTAGCTCAGTTAATTAGATCAGGGTGTTATAACACCAAGGTCAAGGGTTCAGATTCCAGTATCAGCCAGCCACCAAAAAAAAACAAACAAAAAAAGGAAAATTTACATCCAATGAAATACACACATTTTTAGTATACCTTTCCACAAATTCTGACAAATGCATAAACCTGTGCAGCTCAAACTCCTATCAAGACATGAAATATTACCATCACCCCAGAAAGTTTCCTCATACTTCTTTCTAGTTTAATCTCTACCCGCACATCCCCAGTGGCAACTGATCTTAGAAGTTCACATAAATAGAATTATATGTATGTAGTCTTTTGTGTCTGGTTTCTTTCACTCAGGGTAATGTTTGTGAGATTCATCCATGTTGTGTATATCAGTAGTTCATTCCTTTTATCACTGACAGTATTCTATTTTATGACTATATCACAGTTGGTTTATCCATTCTTCCTGTTGATGAATTCTTGGGCTGTTTCCAGTTTTTGGCTATTATGAATAAAGCTGCTATAAATATTCTTGTACAAGTCTGTTTGTGGGCCATATATATTCAGTTCTCTTGGGTAAATCACTAGGAACAGGATTGCTGGGTCAAAGAATAGATGTATGGGTATACACACTTTTAATTTAAATAAATATTGCCAAATTTCCCTCTGGGGTTTTATCATTTTACACTTCAAACAATACATTTGAAAGTACCTATTTTCCTACAGCCTCATTAACAGGGTTGTCATCATATTCAGTTCCTAAAAAATTATATCCATGTCCATAGATTCACTTAGCCTCTATAAGCTCACAATTTAAAATTTTTATCTTCAGCATAGTCCTCTTAGAGGTGGATCCATATAGCCATCCGGTGACTACATATCTCCATTTGATATCCCAAACTGAACTCATCATCTTCCCCACAAATCTGAGGTTCCTCCACTCATCCTGCCCATCCAAACATGCAAGCCAGAAACCTGGGGATTTATTCTTGACATTACTTAGCCTTCAAATCCTTCTATAAATCAGTCACCAAGTCCTGTCAATTTCACTTCTAAATACTTCTCCAATTCTTGCACTGCTTTAAAACTGCTTAAGTTACCCTCATCTATCCTGGACTGTTGCAGCAGACTACTAATTGGCTCTTTAATACACTATCTTCCTCTTTCAACCCATTCTCCACAGAATAATATGAGTGATACTTATACAGTGAAAATTTGAGTACTATATTCTTAAATGTCTATAATGAACTCCCTACTGCTCTTAGAATAAAAATCAAAATCTTTAACAAGGTCTAAAGAGCCCAGTATGATCTGGCCCTGACCTTCTTTACCTCGTTTTATACATTTTATACCACTCTAATTTTGCTTTGTAGGCATGATCCACACTAATCAAATCTTTCAGTTCCTCAAATAGACCATGCTTTCTTTTTATGTCACGACTTTCATACACACTGCTCCCTCTACCTCTAGGGTTGCCCCTTCCACACTGTTTTGGTTCATTCCCACTTATCTTTCACAGCTTGGCTCAAATGTCAATTCTTCAAGAAGGCTTTCTCAGATAGCCACCACCTAACTTCTCCACACTAGGCTAGGCTCCCTAGTTACATATTCATAGCACCCTAAAATCCTCCTTCATAGCAGCTATCACGACTGATACAAAATGCTTGCACTATACTCTGTTAAATGCCTTTCAATCCTGCTAAAAAAAAAATCAGTGTGGGTAGTTATTATGCTCATTTTCTCAACCACTCTACACCCAGCATACAGTAGATGCTCTATAAATGTTTGTTCAATGAACAGATGAATGAATGAGCAAACAAGCAGCTAGAGATGCTCCAAAAAGTCAAATATAACTCTGATATTCATCACAAATAGATCTCGACCAACCTCCAATGTGAATAGTTAACTGCCCTGCCCATCAATTATGTAATGATAGTTTCAATTATCATTTCACAGATTCCAAGTAATACCAACTTAATATTCTCCCTATGCCATCCTGTATCACCTTGCCTTCCCTTTTTACCTGCTTGTTTTCTGCCTCCTTGACAGCCTGATTTACATAATTTAAGATCTGACGACAGTGATCTGCAGCTTTCTTCACCTTTTCCCTTTCCATTGGCCATTCTAAATATGAGGAAGAAATCCAAAATGTGAAATGGAGAAAATTAGAAAATAAATAAATATACATATATACACACGAGGATACTTCAAAAAGTTCATGGAGCTGATAACACCAAGTTCCAGGGTTCAATCCCTGTACTGGCCAACCAAAAAAAAAAAAAAAAAGTTCATGGAAAATTGGAATTAAAAGATAATGCTAATCTTTCCATAAACCCTCATGTATACACATGTATGATTTCATTTTATTTCAATACTTATAAGAACATACTAAGACGCTGAATATTTTTATGCCAGGTTAAACCTATGGCAGAGTCTCAATTCAGGTAGTCTTTGGACAGGTAAGACTTTTATGACAGTACCTTAAAACATAAATTTTAATTTTTAAAAAGAAACCACAGTATAGAACCCAAATTCCAAAGAGTAATGCTTTACATAAAGTATCAGGGACACTATCTTACACACTCCAGGGGACGGGTCTCATTCACCTTGTAAGCTACATAAATGGGACTCCCCCTTCTCCCCCTGGAATTTCACAGTGCATGGCCTACATGATTATGTCCAATGGACCTGTTAAGCAATGTTTTTGAATAATACAACCCAAAATAATTCCAAAACAGTTTCTTTTGCGATTATATTTAAATAAGTAAAATAGATTACAATATTAGTATCATTAAAAAGAAGATGAAATTCACCAAAATGTGTTGAGGTTACATCGTGTCTATAATGTAAAGATTATCAAAATCAGAATATTTAGTACTATAATCCTCCAAACAATAGTCCAACTAAACCAAACAGATATATTAAAGTATAAAAATTAATGTGCATGCATATAAACCACTTCTGTTACCAGATACCATAATTTCAAACTTCCCAATTATGTATTCAAATTCTCAGGCATAGGAAAACAGGAGTTTTATTGCATGAAATTATTAATTAAAACTAATTTAAAGCTTAAAGCTCAAATTTAGAAACTCAGATTCACTTCATTTTTCAAAACAGGAAAGTTGGAATTATGATACACTGGTTTAACTTAATAAAATTATATATACAGATTAAAACATCTCTTCAACCCAATATAAACCTTCTTCAAAGCAAATATATGTTAGAGATGGGCAGACTTTTTTTTTTTTTTTTTTCCGTGTCCGGCAACGGATCGCAACCCTCAGTGTTGCCCCCGTACCGGACCGGGGACCGACAACGGGATTGCAAACCTCGGTGTTGCTCCCGCGCCTCGCTCAGCCAGTGAGCGGGAGCCGGTCTGTATGTGGGATCCGAACCCGCGGACGGGAGCGCCACCACGCTTCCCAAGCAGCGCACTATCCAGTGCGCCACCGGGCCGGCCCCGGGCAGACTTTTTCTGAAAGGGCCAAGTAATAAATATTTTACACTCTGCAGGCCAAATGTTCTCTGTTGCAACTACTCAACTATGTTGTTGTAGTGCACAAAGCAGTAGAGATAGTATATAAATAGATGAATGTGACTGTATTCCAATAAAACTTTATTTACAAAAATAGGCAGTGAGCCTGACTTGGCCCACAATCCACAGTTTGCCAAACCCTCTGCTAGAGCTACTAATGAAGTATATTAAGTCAAACAGCCTGAAAATGACTAGACTTTATCTTGTTAGAAAATCTTGCCATACTATCTGGAAATCCAACTCCAGGCACTAGGGTGCTGAGAGGGATTATTTAGCAGGACATTTTTTTGTTTTGTTCCTAGGCTTTTTTATTTCAGTGATAATGCTGTACCTGTGTATTTGGCAATATTATCCAATAGAAGTGGGTACTTAGTGAGCCTTTGCATTTGGGTGGGAATGATATCCTTCAGCTGAAGACGACGACACAGTGGATTACTCTCAGCATCCTAAAATTAAAGTGAAATCAGTGAATCTGTAATTCTTATTAGTACTATAATTATATAACATGTATCACGCATTCACCATGTGTTTACATGCTGTAGGCAGTTCTGGTTATTAAATCAAGATTTTTTAAAGATGCCAAGACATATCATTGCCACACTATATTTCTGCTTGTTATAATCACATAATGGGGGAAGAGAGCCTCTATTACTAAAGCAGTGGCTTCTTTGATATCTGTTTAAGCCAGGACTGAGAACATCCATAATCAACTCTAAGACTTACTTTCTTGTATTTCAATAGCTTTATTCAGAAAACATGTTGTGAATCTTCTTGTGTTACAACATATTCAGAAAATCTAAGTACAATTTCCTATGATTGGCATTCTTAACAAAAGTTAGTTAGCTAATTTGCTGTTTGTCTTTCTAAATAGGTACAATGGACCACCAACCTGAATATACCAGCTCATCTTTACCAGCGATCTGCAAACTTTTCAGTAAAGTGATAGATAGTAAATATTTTAGGCTTTGCAGGCCATACAGTCTCTCTCACGACTACTCAACTCTGCAGTTTTAGCACAAAAGCCATCATAAACAATACATAAATGAATAATCATGGCTCCGTGTAGTAAAGAATCAAAGATGGCCTCCAAGATTCCCACCCTCTGGTGTACACACCTTGTATAATCCCACCCCCTTAAGTGTGGATAGAATCTGTGAATATGATGGGATATCACTCTTATTATTAGGTTATTATCAGTTGACTTTGAGATAATACAAAAAGGGATTGTCCTAAGAGGACCTGATCTAATCAGAGGAGACTTTAAAAGAAGTCTATGTCAAAGAGACTCATTCCTACTGGCTTGGAGGAAAGCAAACATCCACCTGTAAACTGCGTAAGAAAGCCATGTGGCAGAGAGATATGAGCATCTTCTAGGAGCTGAGATTGGTTTCTAGCCAACAACTAGCAAGAAGACGGGAACCTCAATTATTCATTTATAAGAAAATAAATTCTGCTAACAATCAATGAGCTTAGAAAAGGACCCCAAGCTTCAGACAAGAATTGCAATTCCACCTGACACTCTGATTTCAGCCTGGTAAAGCCCTAGAGAGAGGATCCAGCTAAGCCGTAGCTGTACACCTAACCACAAGAACTATGAGATAATAAATTTGTGTTAAGTGACCACATTTGTGGTAATTTGTCATACAGCAATAGAAAACAAATACACTGTGTTACAAAAAAATTTTATTTACAAAAACAGGCAATAGGCTGGATATGGCCAAACTTTGACTATACCAATGTGTACCTCATTGAATATAACTGCTGTTATATTCTTCCCGGGGCCCAATAGAAGCCCATTCTCATGTTTTGACAATATTCTTTTAATAGTATATATGGCTCATTTCTTGATAAAACCCCCACGGCAATGTGGATTTCTATGCCAACTATTTTAAATCTCACATATATTTTTTATTATTCACCATTCCAAAATCATTTTTATACCTTCCAGTAATTTAAGAGATAGTGCATGGTTTTTCAAAATGTAGATGTAGTCCTTGTAAAAGACTTAGAATTCCCCCAATTTATTCTATAATTGATTTTTTTAAATGTACATTATTTTTTTTCTTACATGACTCCTTCAACTCACTTGCACAAAAGTCTGGAATCGAGAATCCTTTTTCTGACGAGATTTGATCATTTCCAGGGCGAAAGGCTGGTTACTGCAAAAGGTAGCAGCAGCATGTTTCAACTTCTCTTCTCCTGGTCCACTGAACTATGTGCCAAGAATGCAAAGAAAACAACTGAGAATGGGATACTAAGATTACATAAGGCCAGGCAAAATGAGAGACAACCATAATCCTTTCAACATTTCAATCTCCGCATCTTCTCAAGTGACAAGAAACAGAAAACCGTATGTCTATGTGGAATATCAATCATTCTCCATTAAAAAGGTCTGACCCTGACACATCCAGACCTTCTCTGATCATATTCCAATGTTTTCTTGCTTGTTAGCCTACCCCAACTTATTACCTTTCAGCCTATACTACTAAATTAGATAGAAAGATTGACATTTAGGGAATACAAGACACAAAACGTGTGAAAACTAGATTAAAATTTCATTTTCTCAGACCCTGACACCTTTACAAAAATTACTCTATTACTGCTCCAAGAAGCAAATCCTTGAGATACTAGCTTTCTTTCTTACTCACTACGAGCAGGTCGTAACTTTTCTGGGCCAAAATAAAATTAAATCACTCCTGCTTCACCTGTGCAGAGAGAGGCTCAAGCTGTCTTGGGGAAGATCAATGAGCTTATGAACCTCTTTTGCTAAAAATCGTTAATAATTTTTAATTAGCAAATTTAAGTTTGTATATGCCATGATTTTAAAGTTTCTAAGGAAACACCTAACAAGTGCTTCACTCATAATAGTTGCTCATATAAGTCAAGTTAACTATTTTTTACACCTGTAGTGGATTGAAATTATGTCCCCCCCCCAAACTCAATGAAGCTTGAATTGTGTCCCCCAAGTTTTCTGTATTAGAAACTTAGCCCCCACTGTGACTGTTAAGAGGGTGGGAAATCCTATTATGGTAATTGAAAGGTGGAGCCTTGAAGAGGTGATTGGATTGTAGGACCCTGCAGTAGTGAATGGATTAAAAATGGTGGTCAGGGGCTTGGTTCTGAGGGCTTTAAAAAAAGAGGAGAGTCTGTCTCTCTCTCCGCTCCACCATTTTTGTAATGTGATACTCTGCCGTCACTGTTGCCACCACCAAGGCTCTCACCAGATGTGTTCCCTAAACTTTGGATTTCCCAGTCTCAGAAACTGTAAGCAATAAATTTTGTTTTCTTTAGAAATCACCCAGTTCCGTGTATTTTGTTATAAGCAACAGAAACGGACTAATATAATACCACTTCTGCATTTGTAAATAATTGAACCTTCCCATTTAATCTTTCATTTAAAGCCATATTCTCAAAAGTCTGTACATGAAGACATTTTGTAAAAAGTCTTTTTGTAGTGTATCTGTAGATAAATTGGGGACCCAGCTCCACCCCCTCCAAGGCCAGTGGACACTGGGTGCTAGAAGGGAGGAGTCTTTCTCTTCCTTTTTCTTCTCTCTCTTTCCTTTCTTTTTTCAAAACAAAAAAACACATATAGAAGAAAATGAACACCCTTTACCAATATTTATAGATAAATTTGGGGTAATTTTTCTTCAAGTAAGACATGTACAAAATGATATTTTAATAGTTACTCTAATTTTGTGTTCTTATTCTATTATGACACTCAACATATTTAAAGAGGAGACTGGCAGCATTTTGTGTAGTTTAGCTAATCAAAGCACCACACAAAGAGCAGCTGGGTATACAAAAGAAAATAATGCCCCTAACCTCAAGCAGTTCTACAGTAGTTTTACAAGTAATTTAAATATATATAAGGTGATCTTAAGGGACCAATACTGAAAAAATACTCTCCAAAACTATTTTTTTTAAATTGTAGGAGTAAATCTAAAGGGTCTAGTTATGATTTTTGCTTTTAGAATTTCTGAGCAATGTTCTTCCCTAAATTAACCCTTTGTATGTAATAGTTACAAACCAGATTGGTCACTACATTTTGTTGTTCCTCAATATCCTATAGGTATATCACGTTGACCAAGAATACACTTCTTTTTTTTTCCTTTTTGTTTTTTTTCGTGACCAGCAACGGGATCGCAACCCTCAGTGTCGCGCCCGCACCGCGCTCAACCAGTGAGCGGACCAGTCTCTATATGGGATCTGAACCCTTGGCGGGAGTGCTGCCGCGCTCCCAAGTGCCGCACTCTACCGAGTGCGCCACCCGGGCCGGCCCACACTTCTTTTTTATGTCCTCTAAAAGAAATTTTTTTGTTTCACTCTGTTCACAGGTTTCCATGCTTTATATTACCATGTAGTAAATTTATGCAGTCCAATGCACTGTGATAAGAGGACCAATTGAACTTCTGTATCTTATTAACAATGAATCTCATTTGACACGTGCTATTCAACATTATTTACAGAAGATGCAAATGATATTGCTTAGAAATCAAGATGCAATATCTTAAGCCCATATGACGTACAACCTTTTAATACAAGTTTGACATGGAAACTGATGCTATGCTATGTCATACTATAAAATGAAATGATAGTATTATAAAATTTTCAGTTTTCTATTTCAAGTTGAGCATTATGTTGTCAAGCCAACAGAACTCAGTTATAACTTTAACTACTATGCTGAGATCAAGAAACAAAATGAGCTACATCATCACAGAGTAGCCACAGAGTAAGCTGAACTTTTCAAGGCAGTTAAATCTCCTTAATAACAATACTGCTACAGTGGGCTGACAATAGAAAATGCTTTCGAAAGTGCAGTAAGTGCAAGGTGAGACTGGATTATGATCCCTTGCTTTTGTTCTATGAGTCAAATGGCTAAGACAGAATCTACTCCTGAATTAGTAGATTCCAGGCCATGATCTCACCACCAATGAAAGGAATAAGATGAAGATTATTTTAGTCAACTTTCTAGACTTTAATCTTTTAAAAAGTTATAATTATAGAATTAGCAAAATCTTGTGGCATTTCTTCAAGTAGTGCATATAATGAACTAAATTTCTATGGGCATATCTAAATGGTTTCTTCCAACCTGCTTTCAGATTTTGAGAACTATGCCATAGACTTTACCATTGTTCACAGCCTTAACCATAGTATTCTCTTAAAAGTTTTAAATCAACTGCCTTCCCCCTAGGAAGGTTTTGTATCTGTTCTAGTTTAGGTTTCTCTGCTACATATGCCCATAACAACCTGTATTCTCCTCTTTTTGTTATACTCATCATGCTTAGAATAACTAATGAACTCTTTTCCCACTGACTATAAGCTCTACGAAGTCAGGAGCAATGTCTGTTTTGATCACCATTATATCCCCAGAATTTAGCACAGCACTGTCCAATATATACTGACAGGGTCAGACAGAAAGAATATGACAAACAGCTACTATAGCTTCTGGACTCTTCCTTATACTGTAAATAAGGTTAAGTAATTTCACTTTTCTACTATTGTGATGGCAGCTCTGGATCTATAATTGTCTAATATTGTACATTACAACTCCAAGATCTCAACAACAGAAGACAGTTAAAGTTCTACATCAGTTAAATTATTTTTATCAAGATCCATTTCACTCTATATTCTTTAAAACACAAAGGACTGATACCTTTTTTCTTTTTCCTTTTTAAAGTTTTTGGCAGCTGGCTAGTACAGGGATTGAACCCTAGACCTTGTTATTATCAGCACCACTCTCTAACCAACTGAGCTAACCTGCCAGCCCTAATATCTTTAATTTGATGAAAAAGACAACTTAGTTTGATTGAACACTTATTAGAACAGACTAACGAAGAGAATATGTACTCTGGACCCTTTTCGGCTTTATATTAACTTTGCAAAATGGATGAGTTTGCATATTTGGAAAGGTTACTTAATCTTGAATCTGATCATCAAGTGTCTATAAAAATATTAAAAAGAAACAGAAAATTTCTTTACCCAGAACAGCAAATCTTCTCCAATATGATCAATAACAGAGGTCTCATTCCTCTTTCGAACAGCCTTCATTTGCTCATTCAACCCAACTAATGAAAAAAGAAAGAAAAAGATTACACACTCATTTTATGAGTAGTACTGAATTCTGGTAGTACTAAGTAGCTACTTTCCAAAACAAGAAAAAAAAAAAAGAAAAAGATTTTCAGAGTAGTATAACTGCTTCTCATCTCCTTAAATGTAAGTCTGGACGCAATGCTGATAACACCTAGATATTGCAAGCTCTATCTGAAAAACAGGTGCTAAAGCATAAAACAACATTTTTGGAAACTAGCGCATTACATACAGTGTAGTTACATCAAATACGCACTTAACCTCAAATAACCAGGCTCAAAAACAACTTGAGTTTAAATAGTTCAGGTGATTCTATTCCCTGTTCCTCTCAAAATGTTCACAGGCAATGGATGTAATCAAGCCTGAACTGGACAATGCAGACTGGTAAAACCTAAGATTACCCATAAAGGAGTAAAAGGTATCAATTTGGTTGGCAGGTGTTGGTAGGTGGTGATGACATCCTTGATGAAGAAAAATTGAAAATTAAGGGTCATAGAGAAACAGTGACTTACAAAGACTGGAACATCCTACTACTGCCTACAAAAAGTCTAAGATGACTACAACCAGGTAGAGCCAACAAAGGGGAATTTTTATGTATTTACTCACATGTTCCAAGCAAATAAACAATAGAACAATTCTTTTAAATTATCCCACCATGGGATTACATACTGTATATTATTACGTACTTACAAAATACATTTATACCCATATTATTACATGGGACATATATTTTTTAAAAAACATATATATTTTAATTGATAGGACATTTTCAAGGGTAATTTTGACTACTCACGTTTTTCTCCTTAGGCACTGACTTTAGATCCTACATTAACACTTTGTTTAAAAAAGTCTGATCATGTGTGAAAAGGATCTAGTCCAAGATCCAATCATTTCTTTATTTACGTTATATGCTCACATATAATCTCAGGAATTCTAACATCGATACATTTATGAAATTTTATAAAGGCACCTTTACGGTGCCTTTATGCTCACAATCTTTTCTCTATTGGAAATGTTAGGGACAATGATCAGGGCCAATTTCTCTTACTATGGAGTTGAAGAATATCTTCCAAGTTTGAAAAAATCTTTCGTAGTTCTGATGGTGACAGAATTCCTTCTCTGGACACTCGCTGATAGAACACTTGATCAAGAACCTTCAGTGTTCGAACATGAGCTCTTTCTGTGTAGAACAACTCTAAGCAGAAAAAAAGGAGATATGAAATGTTGTCTTGCTTAGAACTTAGAATAATTCCATAGGACCAAATATAGTCTCTAGCTGGAATTACGTAGCAAATGAGTTATATAATAAGTTATTTATTATTCAGAAAGGATAAAATGTCTCTGGAGTCACTCTGATTCCATGAAATTCTCCTACACAGGGGCTCTGAGAGTTGAATACTGACAAATAAAAAATATCATTCAAAACTATTTTGCACTTAGAAGTTAACAACATATCTCCAAACTCATCTGTTTACAATAATATCCACCTATCACAACTATAACATGAGAAAACTGTAAGCCCCAATATCATATAAGCCTGTAACTTGAACCACCTTCAGAAATAATTGTACATTTGGTTATCTAATTTGCCTATAAGCCCTCATTTCTAGATCCAGACTTATAATTTCACTGTGTCTCAATGTTATCAGAGTCAGGGAGTATATTTATTCAAATCACATCCTAAGGACAGAAGAGGATACAGCAGCCATGCCACATATCTGTTACATACATGCTAGGGTAAATAAAGAACACCACACTTAGATACTGGAAGATCTGAATCATAATTTTTCCCTTATCAGTTATTAGCTGTATGATCTTGAATAACTCAATTGATCTCCTTGAGCCTTACCTTCCCCATTTATAATCTATGCATAAAAAAACCTTAACCTGAAAGTAAAGTGATGGGGCAAATGTTGTCTGAATGATTTCTCAACTTTAAGATCTATAATGTTATGAATCTTAATTATTTTGAAGGAAAACACCTTTTCCTCTTGAAGAGCTCGAGGATCTACATAGTTTAATCTTCTCTTGTTTACTTTTATTTTTTCCAATTTATTTTTTATTGAAGAATAATAAATTATACATACTTTGGGGGTAAAAAGTTGACTATCAATAGCTGTGTACAATGTGTGATGGTCAAATCAATATAGTTGCTTATCCATCACTACAATACATAATCATTCTTTGTGTCCATTAACCAATTTCTCATTAACCCCCCCTCCCTCTCTCTCTCTCTCCTATTTTACCTCTAGTAACCACAGTTCTGTTCTCTCATTTTAAAAATTCAACATATTATTGTGATTGCTGGTTGTTTCTTTTCTTCTCTCTCTCTCTCTCTCTTTACTGTTGTTTAATTATGAATTCAGCTCCCACTTATGAGTGAGGACATGCGGTATTTCTCTTTCTGCAACTGGGTTGTTGCACCTAACATAATTTTCTCCAGTCTCATCCATGTTGCTGTGAATGGCAGAATTTCATTCTTTTGTATGGCTAGTAGTGCTGCATTGTGTATATATACCACATTTTCCTTATCCAGTCATCCATCGATGAACATTTAGGTTGGTTCCATAGCCTGGCTATTTTAAATAAAACCATGAAAAACATGGGAGTGCAGGTATCCTTTTGACATGATGGTTTCCATTCCTTTGGATATATACCCAGTAGTGGGACTGCTAGATTGTATGGTAATTCTATCTGTCGTTTAAGGAACCTCCATACTGCTCTTCATAATGGCTGTAGTAATCTACAATCTCAGTTTCTACACATCCTTGCCAGCATTTCTTATTCTATCTTTCTGATAATAAACAGTCTAAATGGGGTGCAATGATATCTCAAAGTGGTTTTGATTTCCACTTTCCTGATTAATAATGTTGAGCATTTGTTCATGTATCTGATGGCCATTTGTATGTCTTCCTGTGAGAAGAGATATCTATTCAGCTCCTTTGTCCATTTTTTAATCAGATTATTTTTTTACTGTAAAGTTGTTTGAGTTTCTTGTATATTCTGGGTATTAATCCCTTGTCAGATGCATAGTTTACAAATATTTTGTCCCATTCTGTAGGTTGTATTTTCACTCTGTTGATTGTTTCCATTGCTATGAAAAAGCTTTTGAGTTTGATATAATCCCATTTGCTTATTTTTTCTTGCATTGTCGGTGCTTTCAAGGTCTTACTCATAAAATCTTTGCCCAGTCATACATCCTGGAGTGTTTCGCTATGTTTTCTTCAAGAAGTTTTAAAATTTCAGGTCTTATATTTAAGTCTTTAATCCATTTTGAGTTGATTTTGATATATGGAAAGAGGTACAGATCTAGTTTCATTTTTTTACATATGGATATCCAGTTTTCCCAGCACCATTTTTTGACAAGGCTCTCCTTTCCCCATTGCATGTTCTTTGTGCTGTTGTCAAAGATCAGTTGGTTGTAAATATATGGGTTGATTTTTGGTTCTCTATTCTGTTCCATTGGTCCAAGTATCTGTTTTTATGCCAATACCATGCTGTTATGGTTACTATAGCTTTGTAATATAATTTGAAATCAGGAAGTGTATTTCTTGCATTATTTTTTTTTGTTCGGGATTGCTGTGGCTATTTGGGGTCTTTTGTTGTTCCATATGAGTGTTAGGATTGTTCTTTCTATTTCTGTGAAGAATGTCATTGGTATTTTGACGGGGATCATATTGAATCTATACACGACTTTGGGTAGTATGGAGACTTACACTATGTTGATTCTTCCAATCCATTAACAAGGAATGTCTTTCCATCTTTCGGTGTCCTCTTTAATTTCTTTCAGCAGTGATTTGTAATTCCCATTGTAGAGATCTTTCACCGCCTTGGTTAAACATATTCCTAGGTATTTTACTTTTCTCATGACTATTGTAAATGGGCTTGCTTTCTTGATTTCTTTTTCTGCTAGTTCATTATTGGAGTGTAAAAACGCTACTTATTTTTGTATATTAATTTTGTATCCTGCAACATTATTAAAATTGTTTATCAGCTCTAAGAGTTTTTTGTAGAATCCTTAGGTTTTTCTATATATAGGATCATGTCATCTGCAAATAGGGACAATTTGACTTCATCTTTTCCTATTTGGATGCCTTTTATTTTTTTCTCTTGTCTAATCACTCTGTCAAGTACTTCCAATACTATGTTAAATAGGAGTAGTGCAAGCAGGCATCCTTGTCTTGTTCCTGTTCTTTTTTATTTATTTTTTACTTAATGCTTAGATAGAAAATTATTTTCTCAACACAGAAATGAAGGAAAACATCACAAATTAAATTTAAATCCAATTGATAAGGAGTAAAGTTAATACTCAAAGATTATCATTCTTAATGAAAAGAACTCTTAAAAATGAATCAGAAAAATCTAAGCAGAAATTTGGTGAAGGACATGAGCAGACAAGTCACACCCTCCTAAGAAACACAGGTAGCTAATAAGTACATTCTAAGATGTTGTTGCAGAGGTAGGGAGGGGAGGCTGGCCCTCAGCTCCTGTCTCAGGACCCCAGGTGGCTGGCTCCCTTGCTTGCCCAGTTGTTGGCAGTGGCAGGGCGTGAGGCCCTCAGCCCCCGTCTCAGGACCCCAGGTGGCTGGCTCCATTGCTTTCTTGTTCCTGTTCTTAAAGGAAAACTTTCAGCTTTTCCTCATTCAGGATGGTATTGGTGGTGGGTTTGTTGTATATGACTTTTATTGTGTTGAGATAGCTACCTTGTATACCTCATCTGTTGAGAATCTTTATCATGAAGAGATATTGAATTTCGTCACATGCTTTTTCTGCATCTACTGAGATGATCACATGGTTTTTGTTCTTGATTTTGTTGATGTGGTATTTATCACATTTATTGATTTGCATATTTTAAACTATCCCTGGGATAAATCCCCCTTGATCATGATGTATAATCTTTTTGTTGTGCTGCTGTATTCTATTTGCTAATATTTTGTTGAGGATTTTTGTGTCTATGTTCATCGAGGATATTGGTCTGTAGTTTTCTTTTTTTGTTGTATCTTCGTCTGATTTTGGTACCAGGATGATGCTGGCCTCACAGAATGAGTTTGGGAGAATGGCCTCCATTTCAATTTTTTGAAATAGTTTGGAAAGGATTGTTATTAACTCCTATTTAAAAGTTTGGTAGAATCCAGCATGGGAGCTGCTTCTGAGTGGCTCAATGCTCCTATGGTGGAAGCCAAAAGGGGCAAGGCTTCTGGGACTGCTGCCAGGTGGCTCAAGGCTCCTGCAGTGGGAGTCACAAGAAGTGGGGCTCCAGAGGCTTCTGCCCAGTGGCTCAAGGCTCCCATGGTGGAAGTTGTGCAGGAGGGGCTCTGGAGGCTGTGGCCAGGCTGCACAGTACTCTAGTGTCTGTGGCCAGAGGCTATGCAGTGGCCAGGGCCAGGTCCACCTGTTGTGCAGCTCCAGAAGCTGGGGCTGCAGCTGCAGGTGGCGTAGGCAGGGGCACAAACTCCCACGGGGGGAGATGGATCCAGGGCCCTGAGGCTGGCAACATCAGTGGTGACGAGGACTGGCTGGGGCAGGAGCAAAAGGGGGTTACTGCTAGGAAGTGCTCATGACAAAGTAGACTCTTCTTGTTTCAAGGGAGAATTCCTCTTGTGCTGATCCCAGCTTTCCATTCCTTGCTCTGGACCCCTTCTGCAGGAGGATTGTAAGTTGGGCACCTCTAGTCTGCCATCTTAACTGGAACTCCTCTGCTTGTTTGAAACAAACGGCTAGGAGAAACTTTAAAGCAAACTCCCAGGCTCAGGGGTTTGCATTACTCTGATAAAACTCAATATATGTCAACAACAACAACAAATTGATTAAACTCACCATTAATCACTTCCTGTCTTTTGATCTCACAAGGTTTTAGTCCCAATAACACTTCTCTACTAACAAGCTGCTGCCAGTTTGGTGGATCTGTCTCTAAATCATTTTCAAATTGTTCATCCTCACTTTGACTTTCTCCAAAAGCAATGCTGTCAAACCTAATGAAGAAAAAAATGAATTCTATTTGAGGACTTCAAGTGGACAATTGGAAATAGCACAAGTTTTTATATTACAGTAAATCAGTCAGATTTTTGAATCTTACTTAGCACAGAGCCTGAAACATCATCCTCTCCTACAAAACAGCTTATATATGTTATATACACCTCAATATGTATCTACTGAATTATTTGTGTCTATTAAGAACTTTCTTTTATACTGTCTAACAGTTTGTTGTACAGGGTTTCTTTTCCTTTAAAACTGGGATGTTAGAGAAAAAAAAGCTATATTTCTTAACCTTCTTAGCCTTTATTGAAAGCTACTGAATATTTACTTACTTCCGAAAGGGCTTTGGTGTCCCATGTTCAGTCACCCTGAAATAATGGAGAGTAAGGAGTCAACATGAAAACAAAATGGTGATCAAGAATTTTATACCAAAGGTACTCAAAACTGGGTTAAACTCCAGTGGCTTGATATACAGTTCTTCTGGATATTGTAATGATTTAACATAAAAGAAACTGGAAAAATTTCAGTACCTATCTAATATTTACTACCAACAAGCACTACTTGTTCCTCAAAACATTACATAGGGGAAAAAGTGCTACCAAGTATAGAAATGGTATATAATTTTAAAAACTTTAAGCAATGCCCTGAACCCCTCTAAGGTATTACTGAATTACCTTTCTATTTCGAATTCCTCCTCCTGTACTTGGTCTAATGGAGGAGGTGGGAAATCAAAGACAGTATTGGGAGTACGGGGTATGCCATCTAAGAAGTCTCCAGATGTTGGTGTTTCTCCAACTTGCTTTGATCCTGAAAAAACAAAACATCAGACATTCAAAGAGTAACAAAGTCACTGATAACAAAGAAAAATTAGTCCCCAGAAGAGCTTCAACCTAATCCAGAGCTACATTCTTATTTAAACAATTACTAGTTAGCAAGAACCAAAATTTTAATATACAAAAATTTTAAATACACTAAAATACAAACAGAAAATCATTTTTAAAGCAGCTTCCTAAAAATCAACATAAGACATGGCAACAACTCACAGAGTTCAGAAGAATGTATGATGAGGCACAACATTTTAACATCTTATCCTTTTCTACCTCCAGTATCGATCCTTCTTCATGTGTGCAAATTTTAGTTATTATAGTGATTCAACTCCAAATAATATAACCTCTTACTTCTTTTTCTTAAATTATCATCTTTATGTAATATCTATATTTCCTTCCCCTCTGAGAATTTTGCTCACTTATACTTCCTGCCTTCACTTTCCCTCCGTATCTTCCCAAAATTTAATTGTTATATTATTATTATTCGCTGGGTTATTAGTTATTACCTAACTTTAAATGAGCTATCTATATTTTTATTCCATCAAGGAGTTAGCATCTCAACTCTCTTCTATGCCAGATTAGGTATTTAGTGTCCACCTCCCTCCCTCTAATTCTATTTCCTTCCTTTTACCTTTCATTTCTTTCAGCTACATTTTTACTAGTATCACTAGGAGGACTTTTTATATTTATATTCTGATCTGCAGCACAGCCACAATGAAATATTCTGTGCTTTGCCTAGTAGGATGATTCTAAAAGTATGAAAATTAATAAAGAGTGCTTACATTATAATATACATATTATCATATAAAATATACAATGTACATATACATATTATTCCTGCCAGGTTAAGAGGTATGCTAGATAAGATTTTCTTTTCTACTGGTCCAGTGATAGAACTTTGGGACACTTGAAATGGAATGTTTATTACATTAAAGTCTATATACTATCAACTGCTTTAAGATAGCCCATTTTTTATCCTAATTCAAGTTTAGATCTTGACTTACTTTTTTGAACAACTCTATTTTTCATAGCATTTCTAAACATCTTTCTTTATTGCTAAGTTATATAATTTTATCAAGTTTCAAATTTTTTTTCATCCACTAACTCATACTATCACAACTGCTTAAAATTCCCTTTTCTTATCCCTGACGTCCTTGTGTTCCAATCTGGAGCAGCTGCTCCCTTAGCCTGTGACAAAACCATCATGATAGAACTGCCCTTTGCTGCTTCCCGGGGTTTCTCCACTGTTTCCTGGATCCCATGACATTTTCTTTCTTAATTTTTCTGGAGTGTGTATCCTCAAAAAATTTTCAAGGAAAGGGTGCATTTTGGTTAAAGTTTAGAACCTTGCATATCTGAAAAAGTCTTTGCTCTTTCTTCATATTTGTTGGATGGTTTGGATGAATATAGAATTCTAAGTTCAAAACTATTTTCTTTTACAAAGTTGGAGGCACTGTTGCTCTTTTGTATTCCAGCATCCAGTGTTATGATGAGAAACATGATGCAGCATAATCCCTATTTTCTCTCTCTTCAAAGATTTTAGGATTTATCTCTCATGCATTGAAAATCTCAAGGACATTTTAGACAGATTTTTTAAAAAAATCATTCATTATAGTTGAGCCCTTTCTATCTGAAGACACTTACTCATTTTCTTTTTTTTTTTTTGTCTTTTTGTCTTTTTTCATGACCGGCAACGGATCGCAACCCTCAGTGTCACGCCCGTACCGGACCGGGACCAGCAACGGGATCGCAACCCTCGGTGTTGCCCCCGCTCAGCCAGTGAGCGGCCGGTCTGTATGTGGGATCCGAACCCTCGGCGGGAGCGCTGCCGCGCTTCCCAAGCGGCGCACTGTAGCAGTGCGCCACCGGGCTGGCCCCACACTTACTCATTTTCAACTCTGGAAAACTTTCTCCTATTGTTTCTCTATTTCTCCTCCATGTCCTCTGTTGACGTTTTGTGAGAAAGATAGATGTAGAATTCTTTTCTCTCAAATTTCTTTCTGTTTTTTAAGCTGGAAAAGTTTCTCCAGAATCTCTCAAATATCTATCTTTAGATATTTCTGATATACATCCTAAAATATTTCCTTGAGTTTATTTTTTAAATTATTTTTAACAATTTTATTAAAAAATGTATATTAAATTTATTTTTAAAAACTTCTTTTCGGGCCGGCCCGGTGGCGCACTGCTACAGTGCGCCGCTTGGGAGCATGGTGGCGCTCCCGCCGAGGGTTCGGATCCCACATACAGACCGGTTCCTGCTCACTGGCTGAGCGAGGTGCGGGTGCGGCACCGGGGTTTGCGATCCCGTTGCCAGTCCCGGTCCGGTGCGGGCGCGACACTGAGGGTTGCGATCCGTTGCCGGACACGAAAAAAGACAAAAAAAGGAAAAAAAAAAAAAACAAAAAAAAACTTCTTTTCTATCCTTTAAATATTGGTAGTTGTGAGGAAATACGAAAACTTGAAAATATGTCCATAAATTTTCTTATATTCTTCCTTTCAGGGATGGAGCCTAATTCTTCCCTCCCTGAGTGTGGGCAAGTTTTAGTGACTTGCTTCTATCTTGAAGAAGTAACAGCGTATACCTACAGAGACTAAGTCATAAAAGACATTGGGGATTCCTTCTTGCTCTGTCTTTTGGATCACTCTGGGAAAAGTCAGCTACCATGTCATGGAACACTCAAGCAGCACTATGGAAAAGTCCATGTGGTGAGGAGCCAAGGCTTCCAGCAAGGAGCTAAGGCCTCCTGCCAATAGTCACCTGAGCGGGCACAGAAGTAGGTCCCTCAACCTCTCTTAAGTTCTCTGATAACTGGATAATATCTTGACTACAACTTTATGAGAGACCCCAAGTCAGAACCACCCAGCTAAGCTGCCCTCAAGTTCTTCACTCCCCAAAAAAGCGAGATGATAAATGTTTTTTGTATTAAGCCATTAAATTCTGGGGTAATTTATCACACACCATTGACTCCTAATATAATAGTTATTGTATTATATTTAACAGTCATATTTTTAAAAGCTTTTGTCTTTCAACATTCCTTTTTCATAGGACCCTATTCTTACCTGATACATGTAATAACTTATTTAACGTCCCCAAGTATAATATATAATTTAGTGGTAATTTTTAAGTTCTAGTCTATTACCAAAATTATCTTTTTCTTTTGGGAGCAATTTTTCTGTTTATTTTGTATTCTCTCTTATGCCATCATCTGATATGTTTGGCATTATATATTATCTTAGGTCTTGACTCTAATAAGCAAACTTTGCCATGAGTGAGTAATGAAGTTCATATTTAAGAAGTAGCTGCTTTGGCTTTCTTTTGCTGCTGTGTGGAAATAGGCTCGTTTCAGTCGGGAGCTCTCTGACAGGGTAAATCACTGGCATGCCTATTGTCGAGCTCTAGGCTCCCAAATGTTAGAACTTCAGGACATTAATACTATGGAGGACTTAATTCTCCCTACATAATACATTCGATTTCTCTAAAAAAGAGCACACTGGTCTTCTTCTGGTCCATAACTAACAGACTTAAATTCTATAATTCAGGGATCAGAAGCTGCTGACACACCTGTTTTGATTACAGACCTTCAATTTATTCACTATTTTCAGCGCTACTTCTTATTTATGCACTCCCTAACATATGCCAACTCTAAGCCCAAAGTCTCTCCAGGGTTCAAATGGGCAGGTTGGCTCCCACCTTGAACTCCTTAAACAAATTATGGGCTCTGGCTTCCTTAACATTGTTTATTCATCAAATCACTTTTGTCCACTTTCAATCTCCCAAATAGTTGTTGAACTCTCTTATTTGCTGACAACATACTCTCTTCCTCTACTTCCCTTTATGGTTTTTATTTTCCTTTATATATTTATTATGTTTTATTTTAATGAGTCATGGAAGCCATAAAATATCAATGCATATACTCAATCCAACATCTTCAGAATGCCAAATCTGACAAAATCCCCAGACTTTTCTCCAAATGTCACTCCCACTTCTTTGCCTTAAATAGAAACCTGCCGACCCTATGGGGGTTATGTTACCTCTTTGCTATAGTCCTCTCAAACAGAACTGATGTTCCTGTCATCCACTGTTTCCTTCACGGTGGAGACGAGATGAACGGCCTTCTTAATCCTCAGTACGACTTTTAGACCACTATCCTGCTGCTTTCTTGTAAAACTCACTTGCTTCATTAAGGCTCTCATACTCTGGATATTATCACATGTTCTCCCCCTCCTCACAACAATCATCTAGCAATACTAAACCTTCGGCTGCTGGCTCACAGTTTTCTTCTCCATGCTAAAATCATACTAGGTGACCTCAAAACCCATGTATACTAAGCTATTCAAATTCCTGACTCCTTGGTTCCTTACCTTCTTCATCCCTAGTAACTTCCTCTATACCACTTCAGTGACCACTCCCACAGCCTCATTCTTAATCATGTCATCACCATTAATTGAACTGCCTCCAGACTACTAATACAGACAGGCATTCCCTGCTTCAAATAAAACCACCTATTTTCCCAGCTCACTTGCTTAATAAATGCATTTTAACAAGTTTAAATATGGTAATAAGCTTCTTTCCCAATTATCTACAATTACTTCATATCTTTCTTTCCTTTTCAAATCCCTTTGCCTCACTCACTAAAACCTCACTCTCAGCTAATAGCCTTGCTCTTTACATACACTCTACATCCCTTCTCCTCTTTCCTTCTCAAAACTTTATTCTATTGCTTATACAGTCTCTCTCCTACATAGTCAACCTCTTCTCTCAGCTGGCTTCCCCTAACATTTAAAAAACAAAACAAGGGCCGGCCCGGTGGCACACTCGGTAGAGTGCGGTGCTTGGGAGCACTCCCGCCGAGGGTTCGGATCCCATATAGAGACCGGTCCGCTCACTGGTTGAGCGCGGTGCGGGCGCGACACTGAGGGTTGCGATCCCGTTGCCGGTCACGAAAAAAGACAAAAAGGGAAAAAAAAAAAATTCTAGCATCTCAGATTTTTTTAAAGTCTTCTTTAGACCCCCAACATCTGCCTGTAACTACTGACCAGTCCCCTCAATGCTCTCTTTAACTTTGCTTTATTGGACTTAGCACAATTTGAATTTTTTATTTACGTGACTATTTCCCCCATGAGACTAAGCTGCATGGGGCAAGCACCTGTGTACAATTATTGCATGCTAACATGTGATACAAAGCAAATGCCTGACAGAAAGCTCTATAAATAGTTTTTGGATGGATGAGAAATAGGAGTTATCATTCAGCATAGGCTTGCCATGGGTTGCAGAATATTAAGATGTTAAACCTAAATTAAACTGGGATTCAGTCTTGATTAAAATAATCTGCTACTCTATTTTTCAGTCAGTGTGTTTATTTTAAAATCTTGATACTTAGTTAAGCTAAACTACAACATTAGCTCACCCGTATCATTCTCTTTCCCTCCTTCCTGGGAAAGAGTGGCCCCTGAAGCCACTGAAGAAATGGAATTGGCAGGCAGGTATCCAGTGTCTGTTCCTTCATTTGCTAACCCACTCTGGCGCAACTTAGCAGAGTCCTGGGGTTCAGGACTCACAGACGAGGGTGTGGGTAAGTGCTTAGGGTAACGTTGCTTCTGTAGTTCCATGGCTCTGCCAACTGAACAGAAAGCAATGGTTAATAATCTGTGTTGCAAAATGCTAAAAGGAAAAAAAAGATGATGTAAAAGGACCTGAAAAAATGTCTGAAACATAGTTGGCCCTAGAAAAACGTAAAATTAATTATTTCAGAGAGCAAGGAATAGAGAGAGACAGATGGAGGAAGGCGTAGGTGGGAGATAAGAAGATGGAGGAGGGATGAAGAGAAAAGGCAGGGAGAAGGTGGAAGATGAGGATGAGGAGGGGGAAGAGGAAGAAGAAGAGTCATGAGAAAAGGAAATGAAGAGAGCAATGGTGGGTAGGGGACAGGGAATGCTGAAAAACATAGACAGACACATATAGAGCTGTATTCATTATGAAGATGAAGCCCTATGTCTCAGTGAGCTCTTAGCATGTCCCCACCCCACCTCTCCCCCAACACTCACAACTTCATCATCACAATATGCCTCAGAGACTGTTCCCTATCCTGCTTATTATCCCTGTTCCCATCAGCCGCCATGAGAAGCCAAAGCCTCTCGGGACATCATCCTCGATAGCACTGAACATCCTCACACAGCTTTTTATGCCCATAATCTAACCCCATCTTCCCTAATTCCTAAAATTATTTTTCTATACCCTTTGGAAATCATGATCAGCATCTGTGAAATCCTCCATCCCCTCAACCTCCTCTCTGAAAATTTCCTTCACCTTCTCAGTGTTTCTTAACAAGGGGCACCACTAGCATTTGAGTGAGACTTTCTCATTGTGAAGGACATTCATTATCACTGTAATACAACTCCACTCCCACTCACACCACACCAATATTTTCAAATATGGTACTATCCAAGATGAGAACCACTACATGACCTAGTTACTCTCCCCACCATACCACCATCCCTATTTCTCCTTCAGCCTTCTCTAGTGAGCTGGTCTCTCTCCATTGAACTTGGGGGTGGAGGGAGATCAGCAAAAAAACACAGTGGAGAGGTGGAGAAATTGAAAAAGTATGGGGAGAGTGATATATGTATAAAGAGATTAAACAAAGTATGATGGAGAGATCCATGAACACTTTTTTTTTGTTTTTTTCTTTTAATTTAACAAACATAACTTGAATGCAAAAAAAAATCAGAATAGGTAAGCAAATTATGTTATGGACATCTGAAAGAATACTGCCATTAAAGGAGATGTTTATGGCAATTTTACGTCACAATAGGGGATACTTAGTTCAGAAATAATACTGAATGGAAACAAGCTACATTGGAAGTTCAGTGAAATCATCTCAAGAACGCCTTTCTCCAGCAATTCATTCTAGCAAAGGAGACTCTGAAGTAAAGATGGCACGAAACTGGGATTACAGCATTTCAAAACTTCAACGTACTTGCACTGTTGTCATGACGGCTTGGTCTCCTTGGGGGTCCCAGGATACTGGGGAATCCTCTTCGCTTCCCTTTTTCTTCGCCTTCTCTATCTTTCTTCATACTTTGCTAGAGTTGAGGTACAAAGAGATTAGCAGTATGTAACAGTGTAGATTTCTTTTGCTGTTTTCAAACACAGAAGTGAGAATCTAACGGTCAGTTGAAATAAATTAGTTAAATGTAAATGAAAGCACACATGCACAGAGCACACATCAGAGGCTGACACACAGTACTGTGTACACCTCAAACTCAAGATGTCTTTTCAAACCCTTTAGAGCTGAAAATTTTGGAAAACAAAAGGATAATTTTATAACACATTTACCAGGAGCTTCTAAACAATTCATTCATCCATTCAACAAATATTTACTAAGCTCCTAATGTGTGAAGGCACTACGCTAAAAGCTAAGAATACAATAATGAAAAAGGTCTTTGCCCTCACAGAGCTTTACAATCTAGCAAACATTAAAAACACAAATAATTACAAACTCTGACAGGCACTGTAAAAGAAAAGTATAAGACACTAACAGAGTTGGGAATGGCACTCTGTGTAAATTGCTATTTTCATTTTTCATATTGTCTAAAATAAGCTTATAAGACTAGATTTGTCGGGCTGGCCCGGTGGCGCACTGCTGCAGTGCGCCGCTTGGGAGTGCGGCGGCGCTCCCGCCGAGGGTTCGGATCCCACATACAGACCGGTTCCTGCTCACTGGCTGAGCGAGGTGCGGGCGCAGCACCAAGGGTTGCGATCCCGTTGCCAGTCCCGTCCGGTGCGGGTGCGACACTGAGGGTTGCGATCCGTTGCCGGACACGAAAAAAGACAAAAAGGAAAAAAAAAAAAAAAAGACTAGATTTGTCTGTTTATGTCTAGATTTGAGATTTTTGAGAACAGGGACCATATCTTATACCTTTTAATATGCCTACCACTAATTTGTTGATTAAGCAAATATTAAGAAGAAGAAAAACAGAGAAACCAAACGTAAAGAAGCACCAATACCAGGGCACTCTCTATTATTATTCCAGTCTTACCTTGATTTTTGGAAGGAATCCAATCCGACCTCGCTTGTGCTCCAAATTCCGGGGTTCTTTCACTTTTACTCCCAAATGCTTCATGTACATGAGAATAACATACTGCATTGTGGAACTAGGGGAGATAAGACTAAGTAAAATAAGATTCTGAGGAGGGAGGATTAGTAGAATAAAGACATCAAATGATTTCTAAAACCCCAGCACTGGAATTCCTGAAATTAATCAAGCAAAAAATAAAGATCTTTTCATTGTACGCAGAAAAGAATTCTACTCAAGATGACACTAGAATATTAGTCAAATACAATACAGGCCACCAGAGGGAGACCACAGTCTATATTTGTAAGTTAAAAGAAATAAACTGTAGTTTAAGGCTAACAGGAGAAAAGATAACTTCTTTTTTTCTTAAAATGCTAGGGAAAAACAGTTATATTACCTCTTATCTTCTTCTACAGCCTGAGCAGTCATCCTAAAAATAAAAATGTTTAAAAATGAAATATAAAAGTTTAATAAGAGTTGCTATTAAACTCAGATACTTGAAACAACAGAACAGAGGAAAATGCTCTGGGTCCCACCCTATATCTCTGTCACTTACAGTAAAATGCCAAAAGAAAGCTAATCCCCAAAGGAACTATACACTTTTCACACTGATGTCAAAACCTATGAATTAAAACCAATAAAAGAATTCAACCTGTTTTTTAATTACTGACTAGAAATTTTAGAATTACTCATTTACCAACACCCAGAAAAAGAAACACAAGAACTTTACTGAAAATAAAACATCAGAAAAGAAAATTCCAGTTTCTTAAGTATTGTAACAAAACTAACAGCTCCACATATACAATCTGACAGCCCTTCTAAATTTGTTCAAAGGGTACTTCAAGCATAACTAGCATCTCAGTAGAGAGGGCATTTCTACATACACTTCTATTACTTACAACACTTCTTCAATTTTGGCAATAATCTGTTCTGCACATGCCCGCTCCTTCTCCAAAGTTATCCGGTCCTTGTTAGGCTCTGCATCAAGTTTAGTTAGCTCACTTTCAGCCAAGGTCAGTCCCATACTACGTTTCTGCCTGATGGTAAAGGGAATAGGAGAAAATTTTTGAGTAGCCTAGAGAAAAACAATCTCCCCATGGAGACATTTCAATCAAAGTCTCCATAGCTATGAATTTCTACGAACAAGCAAAATGTCATAGTTTTCTATTTATAGACCAATGTCACCTAGGATAACAGAAGAAAAAAATTCATAGGCAATCACTCAAAGAACACATATCTTGAAGAAACACACTTAGCAAAGACACAGTACTGAGCTTTAATCCTGAAAGTGTACAGAAGGGGATTAAGGACTCTACATTCTACTCTAACCCTTTGACTCCAGATATTCATTATGTTTTAATAACAGTGATAAGATCACACGGTTTAACTAGTACTAAGCTAGTATTTAATGTGTAAATTTTTTCTACCTAAAAAAAAATAAATTCAGAATGACCATATCAGGTTTTATCTATCACCGGGCTTACCGAAAATCTTCCAAGTGCCTCTGAACTTCTGGGTGGACTTTTTCTTGCATAGTTTGGATATAGTGGCGATGTAGATCCTCAGGAATAAGCTCAGGTCTTCTCTTTTCTGCATAAAGAATAGAAAAGAAATTATTTGATCTAAAGGTATGTTCTGTCCAACATATAACTGGCAACATATCAATGCTACTTGGTACAAATTTAACTTGGAATGCACCAAAAAGAAGTTCTTCAGTGCATTTCATATATTTCATCTCAGAATCTAGATTTCATTTACCCTTAAATATAGACTCTTCTTCTGTGGAGATTCAGGTGATCAAGCTAGTCACCATGTGACATATAAAACCTTTAGAGATGAGCTGAGCTACATATCTATAGAGATGTAATTCTCCAGAATGTTGGTGATCCAAACTTACCTAGATCTACAGATATTTCATCAGGAACAGAAACTTTCAGGTGCTAAAACAAAATGCAAACAAAAAGTGAAACAGCACTAAAGACTTTTCAAGATGTATATAAGTACTTGTATAAAGTAAAGTATCACAACTTGGATACCTATTCTTACAAACATATTCACGTATAAGCTCATTTATTCATCCAAATTTCATAGCTATGGAACAATCTATCGTTTAAAGATGCCCTTTTCCCAAGGATCATGTTATAAACAAAATGTCTACAGTCATCTCACTACATAACTAAATACTTTTGTATCATATTTAATCCTAATGAATACACTGGCTCTGACTTTTTAGGATCATTGGTTAATCAGTTATGCATCATTTGAATCAATATAATTAAAACCCAAACTATGTGTATGTTATCATATGAAAAATTTAGTCATATATATTTCCTATATCTGAGATGCTCAGCCTATAGACCATGATATTCCCAGTCATTTTCCTGTGTAAAGTTAACCCTCATAACAGTCACACTCTAAATGAGAAAGTAATGTTGAGTTTTTGGAGTCTTAAATCTCCTGGAATCATCCATAGCTTTTGTTATTAAACTAACTAAGGTAACTGTCTTAGAATTTATTTCTTCCTAGCTAAGGTTTTCCCTAATAATAATTGCAGTTTTTGGTCCCATTACCAGATTGTTGTATTTTCCTCTATCAATTTGAAGGAAAAATTTTATTATTCTGCATTTGGAGGAACTATCTTAACCTCTTCATGTTTTTTTTTTTTTTTTCCTGACCGGTAAGGGGATTGCAACCCTCGGCAGGGTGTGGTCTGCACCACGCTTAGCCAGTGAGCACACTGGCCATCCCTATATAGAATCCAAACTCGTGGCCTCGGTGCTACCAGTGCTTCACTCTCCCGAGTGAGCCATGGGGCCGGCCCTTCGTGTTTATTTTGTATTGTATACTTATTTAATCATATACCTCCAGAATTTAAGCAATTCCTATAAGATGTGAAGTTTAAATTTGAAAATAAGTCACCACTAAAAATTATGACACCTCTTATGTTCATTTGCAGAAGAATGAAGTGGATTTCAAAACTTTCTCTTTGGGCCAGCCCATGGTGCACTTGGGAGAGTGCAGCGCTGGGAGCGCAGCGACGCTCCCGCCGCGGGTTCCGATCCTATATAGGAATGACCGGTGCGCTCACTGGCTGAGCGCGGTGCGAGTGACACCACACCAAGGGTTGTGATCCCCTTACCGGTCACAAAAAAGACAAAAAAACCCAAAAAACTTTCTCTTTAAAGTTGCCAGGTAGTATAGTTCAAATAAACTTTCTTCACAAATGCAAAAAGGTATATAAAAGTTCATTTGTGTATCTGTGTATTTATATGAAATAAGTATGACTTGTAGCATAAGAAAATAATTAGCAAATTAATCAATCAGGATTCTCCTTAAACTTTCATGTTGATATACAGTACTTATGTAGATCATGAGCAGCAAAATACAGTTTTGACTTAGCTTAGAGCTCTTAAGAAATGTGAAACTCAAATACACTTAAATATACTGTCATTCTCCATCAAAGCAACTTATTTTAATAAAAATAATATGTGATATTTTAAACAATGGCAGTATAATCAGAATCCTAATTAATTCAACAAATATCTCAGTGACTACTATGTGCAAGGAACTCTTCAGTGTTGGGGACACAGGAGCAAACAAAAAGAACAAACAAATCTGCCCGCATGGAGCTTATATACAGGGTAGGAAGAGTAGGAATATAAACAAACAAACAAAATAAATAAAATATACATTTCTGTGGACAAAGATAACACAGAAGAAGTGACAGAAAGTGAAGGAGGTGAGACTTTAAGTAGGTTTGTCAGGGAAGGCCTCATTCAGAAGGTAATCATATTTAGCAGTGTGCAAGTGTATAAGTAACTTTGTAAAGGAATACACAGAAAATGGGGAAGGAGCTGGAGGGAGAAGTGGAACCAAAATGTTTGTGTGTGTGTGTTTGTTTTAAGATAGGAAAAAGAACAATGTTTGCATGCTAACATGAAAGCTTCTTTAGAAAACAAAAAATTGATCATGCACGGGAGGGAAGGATAATTGCTAGAGTAAGGTTTTTGAGCAAGAATACAGAAATAAACTCTGGGTAGACAGGGAAAGAGAAGGCTTTGGATAAAGGATGGACTATCCCTCCATAGCATCAAGAGAAAAAGCAGTGTATGTGGTATGATGGAGGTAAGTGATACATCTGGTAGAAGTTCTCTTCTGTATACTTTAAATTTCTCAGAGAAACAGCATAGTCATCAGCTGAGAAAAGGCTAGGAGAAAGATGGTATGAAGTAGTCATTTAAAAGAACTGCAAATGTGAAGGAACTTGGAATGTGCGGCATGATTATCCAGGATGCATGAAGGACTAACTGCTATTTACCCATATCAAGGCTAATAATGAAACTTAGTTTAAAAACCTTATTAACATCTTTATTGGTAAAATAAAACACTATTGTCATTTATTTCAGTGTTAGTGAGATCTTTTCCACCACTTTTTAGTTAAGCTTGTCCCTCCAAACTTCAGAGGCTACCCAGAGTTCAATTATGCAAGTATTATCCCTTGAATCCTAATATGAGAATACTTCAAAAAGTTGGTGGAAAGATTTGTATTATCTTTCAATTCTATTTTTCATGAACTTTTTGAAGTACCCTCTTGCACGTGCATGCACGCACACGTTCTCCTTTTCATTCCCTTGTTCTAACTACACAACGTAAAAACCCAAATTTACATATATATATATAGCCCCTAAAACCTACTATGAGAATTCATATGCCTAAAACTAATTAAGAAATGATTAAAAAATAACAATCAAGAATAGTCAATGATTGAGATATAACACAGATATCAGAAAGCACAACAAAATCCAAAAAATAATACAGGAGGGAAGGTTGGATGTAGAAGGTTAATAATTCAATGTACTAAAGCAAAGATTATAATATTAATTTGGCAACTTACTGCAGATCGATCCAGGAAGAACTGATGAAACTCAAGGAAGATGCGACGAGTTTCCTTGGAATTGGTCTGCTTATACAGGTCTGAATAGAGATAACAAAGCTATAGTGGAGAAAGAAATAGAAAAGACAAAGTGAGAAATTATGGAAAATGTAATTTGCTAGATCCTCATTGATTAGGATTGTTTGGAACAGGTAGGTCACCATAAACAATGTAGTTATTACCATGTAACCAAGTCTTTTAAAAAAATAAATTAATAACATTTTAAGTATCTTTAATATCCATGCTTGCATGTTTGGAAAACTGAAAGAAGCCTGTCCACTCATCTTGTGGATATAAAAAGTTCTATAGTATGAATCAATATAAGAACTCTGAATCAGCTAAACTGTAAAATATATTACCAATGTTGCAGGGTCAAACTGTGAAACTACATGGTGTAAGAAAACAGCCAAGTGAGCAGGGCGAGATTTTAGAAGTTCAATGCTCTGGAAACAGCTGCACTGCCCATTGATCTAGAAGAAGAAAATAGTTTTACATCAATAACTCCAACATACAAATTCAAAATGCAATGTAGGCTCAACTGAACATAGCTATTTGAAATTATTACTTTGACCTCCCTATAAAAAATTCAAGATTTAAAAAAATTTCACTAAAATTTATTAGCAACACAGGCTATAGAATCTCTTCGTCTGAAAATTAATCATCTCTTGGAGATAGGTTAGAAGACAGACCATTTTGGGAGAATGCAAGTTTAGGAGATGATTATCAAGGAGCTTAGATGTCTACAAATCAGTAAAGTAAAAACAGTCTAACATTTCTAAAAATGTAATGGAAGGCTTTTGCCCGATAACAAAATAGCTGTTTTTCCTTTTCTTTTGGGCTAATTGCAGAAATGATGAAAGGAAATGGAGCTGTATGATTTTAAGTTAAGACAACTGCTAGAATATTTGTATTATCTCTAAATACACTAAACATAGAAAACAGCAATAGTTAAACTTAAGGTAAACCAGCATCATAATTTCCATATAATGTTTCACATTTAGATAAATCAGAAAAGAAAGTTAATCTAAACAAATAATAACAATTCTATACAATATCTGCCAGAAAATGTAAAGAATCACTTCCCAAATCATTCTAAAGGCCAGCATTACCCAACTATCAAAGCCAAAGTATCACAAAAAAGAAAAGTACAGACCAATATCCCTCATGAACGTAGATGCAAAATTCCTTAGCGAAATAGCAAATTAAATCCAACAACATATAAAAGGGATAATACATCATGACCAGTTAGGGTTCATTCCAGGAATACAAGGCTGGTACAACATTCTAATATCAACCAATATAATTTAACATATTAAGAGAATAAATCAGAAAAAAACTTGATCATCTCAATCATTCAACAAAATTCAACATCCAGTCATGATAAAAACTCTCAGCAAACTAGGAATGTTCCTTAGCCTAATAAAGAACATGTACAAAAATACCTATAGCTAACATCATACTTAATTATGAAAGACTGAATGCTTTCTTCCTAAGAAAAGGAATAAGGCAAGGATGTCTCACCACTCCAATTCAACCTCATAATGGAAGTCTTCATTGCCAGTGCAATGAAGGCAAGAACAAGAAATAAAAGATAAACAGATTGAAAACAAGGAAATAAAAATTGTCCCAAAAGACAAAAATCCCAAAGGCTTATTTTTAAAAGCTCCTAGAAATAATAAGTGAACTTAGAAAGATCACAGATACAAGGACAAGAATCAAGCCAATCATATTCCTATATATCATCAATAAACAATTGGGATTTGAAATTTTAAAAAAATACCACTTTCTATACACCACCCCATCCCACCAACTGCCTCAACAAAATGAAGTACTTAAGTAGAAATCAATGACCTAACTCTTACTGGCTTTAAAAGCAAAGTCATTTCTACCGGTCAAAGCTAAAATAAGCAAGTAACACAAGGGGCTACTGGTTCTAAGATTTAGCTTCAAATCCTTACGTATGTTTATGTAATATCCAGAAAATGTTCATTTTTGCAACAAATCAGACATCTCAGAAAATTAATAATTTATTTTTTAGAAAACAATGTCATCACCTGTTCATGTTCAGTACCAAAATCATCATCCTCCGCTCCAATAATATGAGGTGCTATACGGGTTGAGGGACTCCCCACAAGTGACTGAGTATCCTGGTAACAACATTCAGAGAAAAGGTACAGAAAAATTATCTGGTGGTCAAATTCAGAGAAAAAAATAGTCAAACCATCAAAAAGACATGGTTCACTTAACTGGTGAAATTTTGGGGGGTTTACTTTCTTTCAAGTACTTCATTTTCAAAGTAGTAGTTCTCAAATTTTCAAGGCCATGAACTACTTTAGCGGAGAAAACAACTGTGACAGTATTGTTTGTTTCTTGGGGGTAAAAACATTTCCCCGTGAAACAGTAGATACTCTTTGCTCACCACACCCTTGGTTATCTGATTCTAATCACTTTCTGTATACTTCACTTATTAATTCGTACATATCTAGGCCCTGTTACAGAAAGAAAACTGGTTTACATAGTTACAACGAAAAAATTAAATTAAAAAAAAGTGACAGAAGACAATAGGACAAAGGAAAAATGAGAAAAGAAATAAGACAAAGTTAGCAGAGAAGTTAATATACTTGAGAAGTACTAACCAAAAATTTCTATTAAGTGTACTTAATTGAAAGTTGTCACTAAACCCTATGTTTTCATTTAAAATTCATTTTCTTAAGTGCATAATGAAGTGTTTTTCAACTGGAACTGATGACATTTTGGGCAGATAATTTTTTGTTGTGGGGGTTGTCCTGTTCTTTATAGGATGTTTAGCAGCAACTCTGACTGCTATACCCACCCACTAGATGCCAGTAGCAGCCTTTTAGTCACGACAATCAAAAAAGCATTTCCAGACACTGTCAAAAGTCTCCTAAAGGGCAAAATCATTCCTGGTTGAAAATCACTGGCATAATGGAATAAAATTTAAGTAATATCACAAACACTGCTATAGAAACATGGTAACAAAATTGTAAAAATAAATTGTAGGTTGGCAGATTGTACCCCATGCAACAGTTCATCCCTTTGTCAATGCACAAAGTCAGATTTAGCATGAAAAAGGCAGTGTAGCGGCATTGATGTATAATGTAATAAATACGGGATGTTTGAAGACCATAAGCACTAAAATCAAAGACCATATAGCATTAAAAGAAATAAAAAGTTTGGCAGAGATAGGAAAAGAATGAGTTTGGTTTAAATCTGACAGCAGTTGAACATGCAGGAACTAGAGTTCAGCAACGAAGGATGGGGCTATCCTGGTTTGAGGATCATCTGCATAGTAGTTATAGTTGAAACTATATAAACGGATCCACAAGTTATAAACTGAGTAAATAATACGTATCTAATTTTTCCTTCTTGAGTGCATTGCAACATTATGTACTGTATCTCCTAACTTGATCTTGCCTTTTTCACTACTCTTTTATTCTCTTTAATCACAAGGCTTTAAAAATTAAAAAAAAGACAGGTGAAACAACAGAAATTCATTTATAGCAGCAGTCAATTTTTGATTTTATAACTGATTTAATGTCTTTGATTTTTCAATAGTTCTTATGTTGCTACTAATCGGTACATCACAAAATGCTGTTAAATCTTTTACTATAAAACTTTAAACAAGTCTAATTAAAAAATAAAATCAGAATGCTAAAAGCATTCAATTAAGAACAGGTAAGAGCCAGCAATCCCATTTCTAGGTATATATCTGAAAGAACTGAAAGCAGGGCAGCATTATTCACAATGGCCCAAATGTAGAAGCAACCCACTGACAGATGAATGGATAAACAAAATGTGTCATATATACATATCATGGAATATTATTCAGTCTGAAAAAGGAAGGAAATTCTGACACATGCTACAACATGGATGAACCTTGGAAACATTATGCTAGTGAAGTAAGCCAGTCAAAAAGGACAAACATGTATGATTCAATTTACATGTGTACCTACAGTAGTCAAATTCAAAGAGACAGAAAGTACGATAACGGTTGCCAAGGGATAGGGAGAAGGAGGAATATGGACTGAGTGTTTAATGGCTACCAAGTTTCAGTTGAGGAAGATGAAAAAGTTCTGGAGATGGATGGTGGTGGTGGTTGCAAAATAACATGAATATACTTAATGCCACTGTACCCTTAAAAATGGTTAAAGTAGTAAATTTTACATTATATATATTTTACCACCACTACCACAAGAACAAATAGTACTAAGCAACTGAATAACACTAACTAACCATATAATATCTCTTTTATTCAAATCTTTATTAAATTCCTTTAAGTTTTCTCTAAAAAAAAAAAAAAAAGAATAGGCAAATGTCACATCTGTCTACCATACCTTGAGTACTATACAAGGAAAGCTAAAGACAGCACTTTCACTGCATTAAATTTCATACTCACGGTGTCCTTGTCCTGAATTGCTTCATTTTTCTCTGGGTTTTCATCTACAAAAATCCTCTCTTTCAGGCCAGTCTTGGGACTCTAATGAAAAAAAAGATCTTCCATTAATTTATTTCAAGAGGCTCACCAAAAGGCCAGAAGAAAAAATAGTGTAAAAAATTAATGTACTAAATTTTATATTTGTATTTAAAACTACTAAATATATTTCATATAATACCTGGCTCTACTGCTTTTTTTCCTGACTTTGGCAAATCACTTATTCTCTCAGCTTTTCAGTTTTAAGTTAATAAACAACACAGAACCAATAGAACAGCTTTACCTAATCTCCAGGCCTGGGGGTTACTTTTCTACCAAATAACTCTAACTACATACATTACATATCTCAAACTCATTATGTCAAAATCAAGCTATCTTTATCTATCTTTCCTAACCCCCACTTTCCCAAACTATCCATTCTTTCCAAGTTAAAAGCATTTTGCCCTATTTATATGAATAAATGTAAGCTTGTATTTTTCTGTCACTACCTCATGTAAAAGCTGCTGTATGGATTTTTATAAACTTTACATGGTATGTAAAATACAAATTACATGACATGAGGAAAGTTCACTTTTGGGTGATGAGAAACACCCCAAAGCAATGGGAGCTATTCTTCAGAGCAACTGAAAATGAGGAACGAGAGACGGGTGTATGAATGCCAATAGGGGAAGATACTCACACATGTTATCTACTCATATGCCAAGATATCACAGGACAGAGAAAACAGCAGTTTCAAATATATGCCCCACTTTGGAGAAATGGATGACTATGAGTCTTTGACAAGAGATATAAAAGGAAAGATTAGAATAATCCTGCCACAAAAAGCAAGGAAGCTATCAAATATACTGGAGAGTCATGTGAAAAAACATAGGAGACAACTTGAGAGGGCTCCCACCAACCAAAAAAGGGTAACTCATGTTCATGTTCTACGAGTTCAAAATATTACACACACATCTCTTTGGAGTTTGGTAGGGTATCAACTCATCTGGAAAGAATCAAAGAAAAGATTCTTTAAAAGGAATAGAATAAAAAAAATAAAAATAAAAATAAATAAAAGGAATAGAATAAAGAAAAAATTTTTTTTCAGATGCTTCGTAAAAGAGTCAAGGAAAAGTATTTATCCTGCATACCCTGTATAAGCTATATTTTAGGGTAACCTCATAGCTAGTAAGGGAAAAATACTTCTTTATAAAATAATTCCATCTAATAAATACAGAAAGAATGACAAAATTATAATATCTCCCTTTTGAAACCCCTAATTAAATAATGAATCTAGGCATTTTGGCCATCAATGGCATGTAAAAACATTACATAAAAGCTTGATGGGGAACTTTATAATGAAGGAATCATGTTGACATCACCTGAACATAAACAAACATTCAACCACAGTAAGACAACCAGACATTCACCCCCTGATGTGATAGGATGGCATGTATACAGTACCACCCATGAATTGTTCTTGCCAAACAACAACCATCAAACCTTAATCTGATCAAGACTCTAGATCTAACTATCAGTTTTCAGGAAATATACATACAGGAACATGTTATAAAACACCATGAAAATACAATTAGAAAGTGGGCTGTTTTACTAGACATATTACCCAATTTCTTCAACAACAACAAAAAAAAAGCAAGGAAAAAAAAAAGAGGAGAGAACTATTATAAATTGCAGAGACTTAAAATGACTTATCAACCAAAGGCAATATGAGGACCTTAACTGGATCCTGATTCAAAAATAAAAACTGTAAAAAGATCATTATAAGATAATTAGGATAATCAAATTGTATATATAAAGAAAATATTAATTCTTAAGGTTTGATAAGGATATTATACATATATTTTAAAAACATCTTACCTTTTAGGGACACATATTAATAAAATAATATCTTAGATTTACTTTTAAAATAATCCAGTGTTTAGAGGGTGTGAGGAATAGGGGATATAGACAAGACAAGTTTGAGCACACGATGATGAATGCTGAGGCTGGGTTATCGGGGACATGAGGGAGGTAATTATGCTAGTCTCGGTACTTCTGGATATGTTTGAAAATTTTCTAAAATAACTTTTCAAAAATATCATTCACAAGTTGAAAATCAAAGAGGCAGACGCTCTAAATTTTAGATGATGACTCGTGATCAAGTTGTTTCTCTTGTGAGAAATGGGGTTATGATGGGGCCTGCCCGGTGGCGCACTGGATAGTGCGCGGCTTGGGAAGCGCGGCAGCGCTCCCGCCCGAGGGTTCGGATCCCACATGCAGACCGGTTCCCGCTCACGGGCTGAGCAAGGCGCGGGAGCGACACCGAGGGTTGCAATCCCGTTGCCGGTCCCCGGTCCGGTACGGGGGCAACACTGAGGGTTGCGATCCGTTGCCGGACACGGAAAAAGACAAAAAAAAAAAAAAAAAAGAAATGGGGTTATGAACTCTTCAAAGCCTTCTCCAAGGTGAGCAAAAGCAGAGAATTTATTTTTACAATATTAATATCACAAACACCGCCAGGAGACTATTTTATAAAAATGAGAAGAAAATTTTAAAAATTAAAAACATTGATTCAAAAGATAATAAGACTTAGTCCTCCAAACTTTTTGCAGTACAATTGAAACAAACACGGAAATCTATAACAGAATCACATTTTTAGCCTTGAACAGACACTTGTAGGAATTAAACCACTCTGTTATGTGTTCAGTAGATACCCTGCTCTGGACTTTATCATTTCTTATCTGGATCTTCAGAATATTCATTTATTTATTTGGCCTCAGTTTTCCTCATCTATGAAATGGTGCTATTGTTTCTTTGAGATTATAATGAGAGTTAAAAAGGGTATCTGTAATGAGTTAGGTACAACCTCTCACACAAAGCAGGTATTCAATAAATGGTAATTATTCAGCACACATTTGTTAAGTTCCTACTAAGCCAAGCAGTCTTCTTCTCTTACAGATCTCCCTGTCTCTACTCCAATTCATTTTCCACACTGACATGTTTTTCTGTAGGCAAGATAAATCCTAAAAGCTTTACACATTAATTATGTTGTTCTTTCAAATTCTTATTAAACATCAATTACATGTCAAACATTGGAATGTCTATTTCTACACTCACCAATTCACTCTTTATTTTATAAGGTTATATTTCTAAGCCACAAGTTTTTATTAACATGCCTCTAAATACAAGATGAAATTCAAATTTCTCATTCATATAACTTGTTCTGAATGCTTACAATCTACCATGCTTTGAAAACAGAAAGTCAGATAAGACTGTCCTTGTGCTTTCAAGGAACTTCCACCTATTGGTAGAGACAAGCCACAGAAACAGAGAAGAGAAGCAGCACTAAATCAAAAAGGAGAGTATGAGAAGGATTCCCAATAGCACTGTTAGAACACACTGAAGCCCTTTGTAGTGTGGACTCAAGACTTTGTTTCTAAGATAATCTCTAGCCATTTCATCCATCACCCTGATATGCCAAGTTGCCCTAAAATTTTCACTGCTCTTCCAAAATGTTATGCATTTTCATACTTTAGTGCTTTTGTTTATATTTAGAATAATGGTACTTTGGAGCTAGGTCAAGGTAGATCACTTATTGCCTGGGTAAATTTGGCAAGTTAGTTAACTCTCTTTGGCCTCAGTTTTTTCTCTTGTAAAGTTAGAATAACAGTAGTACTACTTCATAAGGCTGTTTTGAGAAATAACTAAGGTAAGGAATGTAAAACCCTTATCACAGCATATGGTATGTATGCCCAATAAATGTTAGCTAGTATTTTTTCTTAAGCCAAAATTAAAATTTTCCATTAAAATCTTTATTATTAACAAATTTTTTGTTAATAATAATCTGAAACAATTGATTACACATATGTATGTGGGGTGCCACATTGAATATGAATACCTGCGTACAATATGCAATGCTCAAATCAGAATAATTAGTATATTCAGCATTATACAACATAACCATTTTTTGTGGCCCTTTACCAATCTCTCACTAAGCCCCCCTACTCCTTCCCCCTTTTCCCACCTCTGGTAACTTTAGTTCTGTTCTCTCTTCCCATAAAACTTTTAGCCAACCCAATCACAAGACTCCTATCACCATCTTTCAAAAAAAAAAAATCCTCAAATTTTCCCTGCATGAGGAACTGAGTCATTGGGCCTAAGCCTCAGAGGTAGCCTGAATAATGGCTTACACCGCGGGCTTTCAAATTTTTTTTTTTAATGACAACCTTTAATTACAAAGAAACTTTACATTGTTAACCAGCACATATGTGTATGTGTGTATACAACAAAAGTCACAAGGAGTAACACCTCTTCTACATATAAAGCACTCTTACTTCCTGTTCTATTCTTTTTTTGTAAATACTGGTCACAACCCACTAAATTGATTTCATGACCGACAGTTATAAAAACACTGGCTCAGACTACTTCCCTCATCACTTTTAAAGAGGTCGACCTACAGCATTTTTAAGTCATTATTCCTATCACTGCATACTACACACAAAACATTGCTAAGTAACTAACACCAAACTCAGCTTTTAAGTATTCATATGACTATGGTGCTATATCATATTCAACTAATAATATGGAGGTACTTCAAAAAGTTCGCGGAAAAATGGAATTAAAAGATAATAATAATCTATCCATGAACTTTTTGAAGACTCCTTGTATTTTATTATCATTATAACAAATACTCATGTTCATCAGGCATTTTCTGGGTTAATCAAGAAGTGCTGTTACTAAACCTTGGCTATTTACTCAAGTCTATTCCTCTCTGTAATGGCAAAGTGCCCCATGATTCAAGACTGAGTCACTCTGACCACAAATGGAATATTAACAGGCTCTTAAAGATATCAACAGTTGGCCTGTCGGTTCAGTAAGAAAGCACTGGCATTAACTTCTCTACCCACAAACAAGATGCCTGCTGGGAAATTCCATTCCTGTAAAAGAAACATTTGGCAATCGTGTCTCAGGAAAAAAGTGAATTCTGGAATTAAAAGCACATATACAACAGTATCCAGAATTTCTGTTTACTAAATTGCTATATTAAATATGGAGGTGGTAGAAAGTAAGCAATAAGATAACACTTCTAATTTACATGACCTAAAATCAAATCTAGAAAAGGTCTGTAAGAAAGAATACAAGAAGATAAAGATTTAGAACACTAATGCTTACATCAGCATTGTCATTACTGGGCCGAGAAGCATCTCCACTGCTACAGTCAGTCCTGCCCACTCCATCTCCAGGATCTGCTTCTGCCTCATTGACCGTCAGGGGATCACCTAAAGACCTAGAGGGTATAACTATGGCTACATCCTAAAACAGATTAAAGAAACACACACACAAACACATAAAAGAAAAATTTCATTACTGGCTGCATAAAGAAATAGAAGGCCGCTACAATCTACAGAGAGACTGCCAAAAGTTGACACTCTGATGTGATAAAGAATGCTTAAAATTCTACCAGTAAAAAGTATAAATAACTACTAATTCTGATTCTAAAATGACATGACCTTAAAGACAGAGAAAGTGATATTTTAGTAATGTGAGAGTAAAAGTCTGAACTTCCAAATATAGCAAAAAGATAAAATAATTTATATAATTTATAATATCTGCCTACTAGTAAAGATTATAACTTCTGGTTAACTGCCTTCTGGTGCTTCAGACTTTCAATAAATTGCCAATTTTAGGACACAACGCTATAACATAAACTATTACACGCGTTTAGATCAGGAACCACATTTTTACTATTCAAAGAGGGTAAAAATGTCTTTGTTCTGTATTAGCAACATAAAACTATCAATATTACTGAGGCATAATACTTAAAATGTGACAAAGCTAGTGGGACTGATAGTAATGAAAAAATATATATAATTGTAATGAGAAGAACGTTAAGCCAGGAAGTCAGGAGACCTTACACACTATACGACTTTGTAGAAGTCATTTACCCAGTTTTCTCAATCATACTGTGATATTTTTTTAATTTGAAAATGAGCAGATTAGCCCAGATAACCTCAAAAACTCCTTTTAATTCTATGAATATGTGGCTTTCACTTAAGACCTAACTCAGGAATAGTGACAAATCAATAGCTTTTACTCATTTTAAATGTATAGGCAATTTGTCCACTTTGTTTTATGTACAAAGAGCTTTACATATCCCAAATCTGAATATTATAGAATATGAGGGTACTTTTAAAAGTTCGTGAAAAAATAAAATTAAAAGATAATAAAATCTTTCCATTAACTTTTTGAAGACTCCCCATATAAGTCTGGTTGACATTGAAATGCTGAGCTATTTTTTCTTTTTTTTTTTTTTTTTTTTTTTTTTCCTTTTTG